TGGCACTTGAAAATGGCCCTTTCCCGGCTGTGAGCATGTACAAAACATGCTTTTCAATGGCGGTGCCAAGCCCAGTCGCTCCAAAGAGGCCTTGCAGGAAGGCGCCAGGCTTTTCAGCTCTCAAAACCACCAAAAATAGTTCCTATAGGCTGAGAATAGCTTTGTAGGGCCTACAGGCCTTGTTAATTTTTGACGGTTTTCAGAGCTGGAAAAGGGAGCGCGTTCCCACGGGGCCTGTTCCTAGCGACCAGGCTTGACACCGCTGGATTTGGTGAAGGTTTGATACAGTTCTCAGGTGGAGGAACCACCATTTCGAGTGTTCAAGACGATGCGCCCCAGAGTCGCAGTTTGAATTTCACGATCTCGACGACCGTTGGCAAGTTATGCCACGTCAGCATTTTAATTTGCCCGATTATAAAGTCTGGGTGGTGGTTTAAGAGACTCGAGTCAAACTCAAGATTAGCTGAATGCCGTCTCGGCTTTCTCAGTTGTGGAATCTGTGAACTCTGGGGCGCGCTGGGCAGCAATTCAGCAGGGTGCTTGGAATTGGAACTCTTTAGTGGCAAATGATGGCGGGCGGAAAGGATGAAGGAGCTCCTGGGACCAAGAGAAAGAGGCAAGTAGGAAGTGAGGAGGGCGAGGAAGAGGAGGAGGCTTCAGAGCTAGGGCCAAAGAGGACGAAGCAGGACGCAGACACATCCAAATCAGGTATGGTTTGAGTAACGATCTGACTCTTATGGTTGTCTTTCTTCCGCACAAAGTTGACGCAAAAGCGGATTGTCAATGTACCAGCGCACAGACGAGCGGTGGTAATATGTAAATTGCAGCTTTTCCTTCGTAATTGCACACCAGCAAGATCCTGCAAGCTTTGTGGTTCTTGAGTTCTTGCAGTCCTAGTTGGACATTTATTTTGGATTGGCACCACCCACTATTTGCAGGAGGGGGTTCTTGGAGGGGGTTCATTGACAGCTACCGCTTCCAAATCAGCAGGGGCAAGCTGTATGCACTGCAAGATTGCGCCAAGCAAATGCTATACATGGACAGTTGCATTGATCTGGATTGTTTTTCCTGTCTCTTCTTTCTTGATTGACCAAAAACACCACCGATGGTCCGTCCTTAACAGCGATGCTCCAGTGAGAGGACTTTTGAAACTGTTTGCAATTTTCTGGAGTTCACCTTTTCTGATGTCCCTCACTACGGCTGTACATCAATGAACTGTGCTAAAACCAAGCTTGCAATCTGTGCACAGTCTGACCATTAGTCAGAACTATTTTTCCAGGCCTCACCATCCGATGGAAGATGGGCAGCAGCGCCTCAGGAGAGAAGGACGAGCCTGGGGACTCCGACAAGCAGAGAAAGAGGGGGGCTGAGGAGGAAGAGGCACTGACGGGAGATGAGGCCAGCGCGCTGCGCAGCAGTCGCTCTCAGCGTCACAAGAAGCATGTTGACTCGGACAGCCAACCGAAGAGATCTTCAAGAAAGGACAAGGGGAAAGCGGCAACAGAGGATTCTGCACAGGAGGATGACGATGAGGGGCCCCCGCTGCTCGGACCGGACGGAGAGCCGCTCGAGGTCCTTCCGGGGAAGGAGAAGCGAGTGCATGAGGGGCCCGCGGTTGTTCAGCAGAAAGTGCAGGCACCCCATGAGTCGGTGGAAGCATTGGCGGCAGGCGGGGGGCGAACCGTCGAAAATTTGTCAGAAGGACAGCGAACACTTGCCCCCCCCGGAGCTGAGCCGGCTAGCATTGCGGAACTGGGGCAGCCGGGACAAGTGGCGGGGAAAACGGACGCGGCTGCGCAGCGGCTGACCCGCGAAGTGTACAGGGTGCCAGCTCATGCGGGGTGGTTCCGGTGGGAGCATGTCCACGAACTGGAGCGGCGGGGGGTCCCGGAGTTCTTCAACGGGAGGGCGCCCTCAAAGACGGCCAAGACGTACAAGGAGTACCGGGACTTCATCGTTAGCAAGTACCGGGAGGAGCCGCACAAGTACCTCACATTCACGGAGGTGCGCAAGATGCTGGTGGGAGACGTGAACGCGCTGCGGCGCATCTTTGAGTTCTTGGACCACTGGGGGCTCATCAACTATCAGGCCGTAGAGAACCCGAGGCAGCGCCCGCCGGTGTGGGAAGGTGAGCTGGTTGGAAGACTCTCATGGTTTTGATTACCTGAATGTTGGAAGGAAAGAGCATTTTGAGTTCGTACATCCGTTTTTACCCTCTTGTTGCAATTGGACGTCACTAATGCATCTGCAGCCTGCAAATCGAACCTCCTCCAGATCTTCTGGATCGTCTTTGGGAGAGTCCACTTCATTAGCATCCTTCTTGGTTAACATACTTCTTTGCAGCACCTTGGGATCTGTGTCTCTAAAGTACGTTTTGAATCTCTGTGGTGCTTCATTAATGCGTGCACGTGCCTCTATAATCTCAAAAATTGGAACCAATCTCTTCCAGGTGTCTCCGCCACGTTGGTCCAGACGGCACCCAGCGGCATCCGCGTCGTTGCTCCTGCCATCGCTCCCCAGGACGCCCTCTACAAGTTTGATGCTCCGCGGGCGAAGTCTGCAAGCCTCGCCACACGCCCCAGCGTCTTTCCTGCAGCAGCGGCGGCAGCATCAGCAAGCATGGCGGGGGATGCCGCTCCCCCACCTCCCGCTGTAGAATACCATTGTGACAAGTGAGGCTTCCAAATCAGACTGAACTTTTTTCTGACTCAGCCGGGCTTCAGGTTATTTGATCAGTCCGGAGGGATTGTAAACGTCTTCCCTGCTCACAATCCAACTCAACAGAAAGCCAACTCGAGTTGATCTAAATTTCTGTAACTTAGAGTTCACCTGTTGCCTCTAGCAGTCATGTCAAATGTTACTGTGGCACTTACCCGACTCCTTTGCAAGCAAGTGAATCAAGTGTAACCCCGCATATTGTTGCCTGGCCAGGTGCGGCGCAGCCTGCTCTGCCCGCCGGTACCACTGCCAGAAGCAGGCGGACTTCGACCTGTGCCCGGACTGCTTTGGGGACGGCAAGTTTGGCCCGGGAATGACCAGCGCGGACTTCATCAGGATGGACGCCGCGGACGCTGCAGCAGACGCTGACGGGGGCTGGTCCGATCAGGAGACGCTGCTGCTGCTGGAAGGCCTGGAGCTCTTTGGTGAGGGCGGCAAGTCTTGGGGGGCTGGGGATTTCGCTATGAACAGAACGATTCCACCAAGGAACAGCATAGCAACATCATGTTCGGTCTAGAATAGCAGCTGTGACCATAGTCTGCGGTTCTCCTTCGTACAAATTTTTTCAAGACGTCCGCTGTAATGCCAGACAAACAACGAATAGATAGATACTAAGCTCCATTTGAATTGGAACTTACGTTAGGAGAGGGCACGATTGGCACTCGGCCTTCCACCCGGCAGAGCCTTGGGTCGGCCTCTTTTAATCGTCGTGCCAGCTATTTCAGTTTTCCACGTCACGTTCTAAGCTGGTAAGCGGCTGTTCTGACGTGCCGCTTGCTGCGCTCCTGTCTCCAGGCGACAACTGGCAGGAGATCTCGGAGCACGTGGGCACCAAGTCGCGCGCGCAGTGCATCCTGCACTTCATCCAGATGCCCATCGAGGACCCCTTCCTGGAGGAGCTCGAGGCCAGCAGCACCGTCACCACAGTCACCGACGATCCGACGGCTTACGGAAAGGCAGCGGACCAAGGGGCAGTGCCGAACGGGGCGGAGGCGCAGGGGCCTGTCACGGCCAGCCAGCTGGTTATGGAGGCGTCGGGGGCTGCGGAGGGGGAGCTGCTGACGCCGTTTGCTGACGCGGGCAACCCGGTGATGGCGCAGGTGGGTGGGAGTGCGCAAATTGGTGCATGAGAAGGCTTTCGGAGGAGGAGTTGGAGTCATTTCAGCTCGAGGCGGCTTTGACTGCAACGTACTATTCCGAAACGCCTAGGCTCAATCTCCGACTGAGCAACGATGTAAGGTAGATCGAGATGCATGTAAGGTACTTCGAGATGCTTGAAGAGGACATCTGTGTGCAACATTTTCAGAAACCTGTCGAAAGTCGATCAGGAAGCCGGTTTCAGTTGAGGTCTCGACAGACTGCCGTGCTCCCTGAGACCTGTGAGCTCTTGAAGTCAGAAGCGTCCTTAGTGAGGTGCCTTACGAGTTCCAATAAGTCTCTCTCGAACGATTTTACTTTCGCGTCCTGCAGGTCGCCTTTCTTGCTGCTATGGTGGGCCCCCGGGTCGCTGCCGCCGCAGCGCAAGCGGCTCTTGCGGCGCTCACTCAGGAGGATCCCACTGCACAGCTGGGTCCCGCGAGTGACGCCGTCCCCAGCACTCCCCCAGCCTCTGCGGCAGCAGTCCCTCCGGCAATCCGAGCAGCTGAAGCTCCCCCCTCAGACACTCCAAAAGCTCCTGAGCAGCCAGCATCAGAGGGGGACGCTGCCTTGAAAGAAGCTGCCCCGTCGGGACCGACAGATACTGGGATGGAAAGCGCAGACGGGTCGGCCCCTGCTGCGGAAGCGGAGAAAGGCGCCGGGGCGTCAGAGGCAAAGGCACCCGAGGGAGGGGATGTGGGCGGAAGTGAGAAAGTCGAAGTCGCAACTGACGCTGGCGGAGTAACAGAGGGCAGGCCGGCAGAGGGCGCCGGGCAGACGGAGAAGGAGGGGGCGAGGGTGGAAGGCGAAACAGGGAAAGCAGAGCCCATGGAGGTGGACGCGAAGGAGGCTGCGCCAGCTGCGACGCCCGCTCAAGAGTCCGCTCCGCCGCCAGCAGGTATGTTGCATGCTGCGGCGCTGGCTTGCTGGAGGCTTGCCTCTAACGTTGCTTCTCGTTGAAGTGGCCTGGCCGGTTTGGGCAGCAGTTGCGAAACCCGAATGTCCAAAAGTAAGGGGCCAGCTGATGACTTTTTGGGCGGCTGAATGCTGACTACTTTCCACGTAATCTGGAACTTAATAGTCCCGAAAATCAGCCGCTCGAATGCAAGTCTTGGTTTCCTTCACGCCGTAGTTTGAAAGTCCTCGGCTTTCCCGCACAGAACAGCTCGTCGCTTTCTTTTGACGCGCTCATCGTCTTCAAATGCATGCCAATCTGTTTCCCTCTTTTCAGCCACTCCTGCCCCTGGAGCCGTTCCTCCTGTCTCCCTCCTCGGGCCCCCCTCTGCGGCGCAAGTGCGAGCCGCTGCCGCGACGGCCCTGGCGGCCGCCGCGGTGAAGGCGAAGCTGCTGGTGGACCAGGAGGAGCGCGAGGTGGCGCGGCTGGTGCAGCTGGTGGTGGAGGCGCAGCTGAAGAAGCTGGAGATCAAGCTCAAGCACTTCGACGAGCTGGAGGAGATGCTCGAGCGAGAGAAGGACCAGGTGAGCCTGCGAATGTCCCTTAGCGCCACGTCCATTCTAGTTGTTCTGGACGCGGGAGATCGCGGGTATAGTATGTTGGCGGGAGTCAAGGGGATGGCTATTCGAGGACTGCGGATACAAGAATCCTCCCAGTGGGTGCCTACAACGATTTTGCGCAAGCTCAAGCCCTCCTGCCCACAGTCTTCTGTGCTGAACCGAAAGTTTTAGCGGCTGTAGATAATAGGAAAGGACAGTATCGCTCTCATTTCTTGGTCACAATATAAGCTGACGTCTACAAACTGCACGTCAGGTTCCGTCTTTTGAGTGTCGAAGTAGCAATTTGTCGTTATGCACAGTCAGATACCGTCACTGAGTTTCACTCCCACTTTCTGGACACAGGCGGCTGGGACAATCGAGTACGATTCAGCAATTGTTGGTCGATCTCCTCTGTGCATCCTGATTTCGCGCGGGGGGAAAAGCGGTGACTTTTGATAGATCTCTTGTTGATAACATGTTTCCAGAGCCTCGCAAGGGAAGCAATTGTCAACGTGTCAAGGAATACCTTGATCGGTGGAATCAGCTGCCTTGTGCTCCATCAGGCGGACGTCAGAGCCATTAAGAGTAAGAAGCGTTGCTTTTTTGTATGCAGATTGAGAAAGCCCGGCAACAGGTGTATGCTGAGAGGGTCCGACTGGCGGCTTCGCGTTTGGCGCCCACGACACCCCGAACCCCGCCTGTCATGCCGCCAGCAGCCGTAGGCGACAAGGCTGGACCATCTGCGTCAGCACCCAAGATGGGGGCTGTGCTGAACACCGTCAATGCACCAGTAGCGAAATAAGCTCAATCGTTCTCCAACAGCAGGCCGTTTGCCAGGCAGTTAACATTGCTTTAACAGTAGTGCACCATTCGAACCATCAGCGACCTGGATCTTGTCACCTTGACTTTGTCAAATATTGAGAGATGTTCCAAAACTACATTGTTCGCGGTTCCTCAGCATGTCCTTCTGCCCAAACAGCCTTTCCAGTGCCCAGAATCTGATCAGTGCACGTCATGCGTGTTTTGTAGCTTTATGTACATATATGCTGAACTATTTGTTGCATGACACATAGTCATCCGTGGTTGAGCTATGCCCCATGTCCGATATACTCGTTTCGATCTCACTGTGCAGGGGATCCGACTATATTAGTACCATACTACTGCCAGTAGCCTGCTGACTATATATTAACTTAGCTACTAGCTGAGGCCATGGCCGCCATGTGCCAGTCGCGCGCAGGCTGGGCCCAAGAGCCACATGGTATTCGTGCAGGATATACGTATCGATGCCAGCGCATCTGACGTACCATATATGTATTGCGTCCTGGCGCGGCGCTGGCAAGCTTCACAACTATGCGCCCAGCCTGCGTTCAATCGCTGCATGTGAGCCTAGTGCTCAATAAAAGTTCAAGCCATGGTCTGCTGGGCTGGTCGTTATCATGTCATTATATAGTATGTTCGAAATGTTTGTATACAACAGCTTGCCGGCCCTCCAACGAGTTGCCTTCTCATGTGGTGACAAGTCATGGCCGCCATGGCCAATTGTTGTCGATCTGGATCTTAATGACGCCTAGTGCAATTGGCTCTTCATGGCATGGCTATCTTGACAACGCAGTCTGGAACATGAACACAAAAGCCACCGGCGTCGGTCAAGAAGGACTCTTTAGGGGACCCATTTTACAACGATGAATATATGTATCTCGTCCTAGCACCTTAAAGCCCCGTTTCATGTAATTTGTAAGAGCAGTGGGCTGCAGATCTAATGAGCAAGTATGTAGCCAGACGTATCCACATGTTCCGGTCCTTGAGACGGCTGCTTTCCAGGCTGCGTCAATTGCAAGCTCCAGAGCCAACTTGCCCAGTCCACGACCATGATATCTGCTGAGTAATCCAAAGTAAGCTATGTGTCCGGCAGTACCTTCTTTGGGGACGGATGCATTAACCTCCATTGTAACGCCGTCAGGATCAAACCGCTTTGAAGTCAACATTTCCGCATACCCAGCTGGTTCACCATCAACATACAGCACGTGTAAAGCAAAGCCAGGCTGGCTGATCAGCTCCTGGTACTGCTTGAGTGACCAATTCAGACGGTCTTCCCAGTGCAAATCCTTTCCAACTTCGCAGTAAAGACGATGCAAAAACGAGACTTGCAAAGACTCTGCGGGCAGCTCCTTGAACTCAATTCCACATGGGAGAGTGTTTAAAAGCTGTGATGACCCAGGTGCTTCCGTCCTGTACAAGTAAGTTCTGGTGACACTGATGTCAGTGGTTGCCAATTCACCTTGAGGCACCATGGTGCAATGCTGCGAGGCAGAGGAATTGCAATATGTGCATTTCTAGGACCAGTGAGCCTGGAGCATTTCCCGGCACCTTCGAAGAGGTGGTCTCTAGACAGTACCAGATTTGCTTCCTCTTCTGCCTGGTTCGATCTTGGCAGGCCTCTCCAACTAGTGTGTCTCCAACTTCTTGCCTTCATTTGCCCATGGATCAATTGATGTCTGCTGATGCTACCGAAGTTGCCTGATCCACTTGCTGATCGCCTGCAAGCAGAGGGACGTCCAAGCAGAACAGCAAAGAAGGAGGAGCGCGTCCATATGCCAGTGCCAGCTGAGCAGGAAGACCCGGAATGTCAATGATCCGACACTCGGACTCAAGACTCAAGAGTCAGAGTCAGACTCAGACTCAGAGAACCCTTGCAACAGAAGACTTAAACTCAACCCGGCCGTTTGGAATCGAGTTTCTACAAACCGAGTTATAACGACGGTCCGTGTAAAGTCCTGACCAACTTCAAATGTACCGTTCGATGTCCGATTAAATTCATCCGACGGTTAAAAACAGAGGGTTTGCTTGAAGGTTAGCAGGACGGTCTGGCCGGTCAATCCAATTCACCAAACCCGTTTAGTCCGTTTCGCCTAGGGCAAGTGGATTCACTGTTCTGATTCAGCCCAATCATCCATACAATTGGCTCCCACTCAGCAGGTACAAATCGCATGCAGTCGCTTCCAAGTTTTGCCGAGTAGGTAGTCTTATTCGCTTCAACGTTGGGGCGCTGCGTTGAGACCTGAGGAACCTCGTTGTTTTGAAAGACGTGCACCCTGCTTGATCAGGAACTGAATATCAAACACGAAGATGGTCAAGAAGGCGCTCTTGGTTGGTTGCAACTGTGAGCTTCAGTGGTCGTTTCCTTCCCACACCCCCTTCTATTTCGTTATTGTCCACCATCTGCACGTCTCTTTTGCGTATTGCATCGTGCAGCAACCTTTCAGCTCATGATGAATAATTGACAAGTGGTGCCCAATGGATTCTGGTTGCACCACCCAGACATCATCACATCAGAAGTGCTTTGCTGGTGGCAAGCTGCCTAGAATGTTTTTCCTGTACATCGTTCGGTTTCTGGATCGCAGAAGTAGAACTTAAACTTGTAGTACTAGTAGTAGAAGTTGGCATAGCACCAATTGGAGCAGTGAATGGTAGTCATTTGTTGCCTCAAGACTGGATTGTAAACATTTCAGAAAGTAAACTTCACAATTGAAGAATGTGGCTCGAAGCTGAAGTATTACATTTCTGAAAAGCTGACAAGTGTTGGGAATGAGCTTCTACTTTTTACGGAGACACAATCGAACAAACAACTATTCAAATGCAGATCCTGGCACACAGGCACAGCTCAATGGCTGCGGCAACGACGTCTTCGGCTTTCAGAATCTTCTCATTGAGGTACAAACTTTTGTGAGGCTTTATGTATGAGTGGTGCTCTTAATGAGAAGTAGCCGCTTACAAGGCATTTCATCTAGAGTGGTTTAAGTTGCATCTTTTGGAGTATCTTTTAGGCAGCTTGCGTCCCTTTTCGCTGTCTGATGAGTACTTCCGCATCAGGAGTGGAGGAGAGACCAGCAGAGATTTAACAAACGGGTATTTGGCGCTGAGGTTGACATTCCTTCTTGCTTACAGCACTTTGGCTTCCTGGAAGAGAATATCAATATCCTGGTGGACATGGACTCCAGATTTCCAAAACCAACTGGGAGGGCCATGAAAGAGGCTTTAGCAGCTCTAGTTAGTGGCGCCAATGATGGAGGCAAGTCACTAGCACATCATTCATTTGTCAGCATTTTGCATGGGCTCTCGAAGTATTCTGAACACGAGGATATCCCCCATGGGTAGATCTAGTGGGTTTCTCCATGTTTTCTCTGCTGTCAGCGCCCCAGCTTTCCATGTTTTGCAAATTCAGTACTCAACCTCACCGGTCTGTATGCAGATGTGTGCCTCTTTCACTACAGGTGAGTGCAATCAATTACAGCGCACTTTCTTGAGTCATACCATGTCTGTTAGCAGCATCTTCGAACTTGTCAACTTGTAAGCTTCTTTTCTTAAAGAGAATCTCACCTGGATGTACTTCAGATGCTAGGAACAGAGTAAGCACCAGATCCTCGAAATCTATTGACAGTGACACGATTCAAAATGGTCCACGGGTTTGCTTCTGGACATATGTATATTTTTAGCATTCTGGTGTCAAAAGAATTGCCCGCTGATGAAGCATGCTGAGGGCTTTTTGCTCCTCTGCAGCGGCCATGGTACGCAGATGCCCAACAAGAGAGGGGGAGAAGAGGACAGCCTTGACGAGGCAATCGTGCCAACAGACATGAATGTGTTGGTGGTATGTCATTCTAAAGCTCACTCGTCCCTTCTTCACTGTGGTGGAATGTTGCAAATGGTTTCTGCTTTCTGCAATTAGATTTCCGCAATATCTGGGTTCAGCAGTATTCATCAGCAGTTTGTCATGCAGGAAGCCAGTGGTCGAGCGAGCTTACAGACGAGTGTCCTTGTCAGTAGCGAAGTGACCTGTTTGATGACTGGGGCACTTGATGAGTCTTCATCACCTAGAGGCTGACCAAGTACCCTGAGTATATGGGAAGAGAAGAGCAGCTCTCTCTTTGTCGACCTTGCAATGACATCTGCGTTCTATCGTTCAGGATGACGACCTGAAGATGATCGTCAGCCAGTGTCATCCGGGGGTCAAGTTTACCATGATCGCTGACTGCTGCCACAGTGGGGGGGTGCTAGATGGAACGGAGGTGGTTATTTCAGGGGACAAGAGCGGGGTGCCCAACCTGGGGGGTATCCTGTCTGCCGCCTTCGCGAAGCGTGACTTCAGTCCTGAAGATTTGGAGGTAAGGATACGAGAACTTTTGCCTAAAGTTTTCGAAGCAGGTGTGGATACTCACAGGGTCTCTCAAAACGGATTTTCTGGTCCCAACAGCGGGCTCACCTAGTTTTCTCTGCAGATCAACGTAAGGTGGATCACAAAAGTCTGCTCTACCCTTTTTACTCACTCTCAAATCGTCACGGGAAGAGTCGCTTCATTTCGTCTCAAACTTCCGAATAGGTCGACCTAGACTTAGAGCTGATGCTCTTTGAGCTCTGCTTTCGGACGGAAAGTGTGGGAAGAGTACGTGGACCAATTTCGCGTTTTTGAAACCATCCCAGGCTTCAATTGCCCTTTTGAGCCCACCGCCGGCCGGGCGGGGTCCTGACTCCCGGATATTCTTGTTATCTCCGTCCCGGTCATACAGACTGTCGTATAGTGGTATTGCAGGTCAATGTGCTGTATGCGAAACGCCGCCCGATTATTCATACGACTTGCCGTCCGATACTGGGGGCAGCTACGCAGTCCGCGCAGTTCAGGGTACTGAGCATTGGGGGTTTAAAACATCCGAATCTGGTCCAAAACGGACTCTGACGGGAAGCCAGCTTTCATAATCAGCCTGACGGCTCTTACCTCTTAGCCTAAGCATTTGACTTATCCGTCTCAGACCACAAGCAGCAGCCTGTGGCGCTGGGAATATCCCTCTGATCGAAACCAGGACAGTTGAGGACGTTGAGAGTTCCAGAAATAATCGGTCCTTTCCGCAGGTGAACAACAAGGAGCTGCCCATCGGCATGCTCTGCAGCATCCTGCAGCAGCAGACGGGCCAGACGACCAACCCGAGCAACATCCACTCGGTTTTGGGCAGCGTGTTCGGGTCCGACGCCAGCGTCATGGTGGGGCGCATCACTGGCCTCCTGCAGCAGTACCAGGCTTCCCAGAAGCCTGGACAGGGAAACGCGGGGGCCGGCAAGCTGGTGGGCGTGCTGCTGGGCCTCTTGAAGATGTGCTCTTCGAAGCCCCAGACGCAAGAAGGCCCGCTGGCAGGGGGCGCGGGGCCGGCCTCCGGGGGCTATGCAGCAGCGGGGCAGCCTATGCCTACAAGTACAGGTGAGGCTGGGGAGTGACTGCGTCGTTGAGCTACTGCCTCTGATCGAACTCCGTAATCTCGTGATTTACGGATTGTTCAACATCTGCACAACAGTGCAGCTTGAGGCTTGCCAGGCGCACCGACTTGCTTTCCTTGCCCGAAAAGGCGCTTTGGATTGCGAAGTGCGGAAAGAATCGAAGTATCAAGTTGTACTCGTGCATCTTGCAGGCGTCGCTGCTGCGGCCGACCCCAACCGGCCACCGGACCGGACTGTGTTGATCACCGGTTGCCAATCGTTCGAAACGTCTGCAGACGCATGCCCAAGTGGGGACAAGACCAAGGTGGGGGCCTCCAGCGCACTCCTAGCCACCTTTTCTCGCGAAAGCATTTGCACGTGCTTCTGAGAAAGCCTCTGATTGAGTTCTGCGTTACCCCTTTTCGTCCATGTCTCTTCAGCAGACATGTGATCTTCAGAGTTAAGGAACAACTGCAGTCTCTTTGCTCATGAAAAATTGGTCAGGGAATGCGAACAAGGATGTTGCGTGTAAGCTCTGCCGCTTTACATGCAGGGTGCAAAACGATCCAGATTGTCTTTAAGTTTGCGGGCTCCTAACAGTTTTATGACAGTGTGCCCGCCAATATTGGCCGCTAATCAGAACTAATTGGACTCCTCGAAACGTTTTCAAAACCAGAAGCGCGCTTGTCCAACAGGCCTTCGGCGCCCTCTCTAACGCCATCCAGAACATTGTACGGGAGAGCCCCCAGCCACTCACAAATAGGGCCCTTGTGACGGCCGTTCGAGAGTATCTTACGAAAGGGGGCTTCACTCAGGTAGGCGCTTGATTTGCTGAAAACAAGTTTTCCAATATCAAAGAGTTACAAGCCTTGAAACAAAGTTGCCAATTGGGATTCTCTGGTCGAGCTCGAGTCTTCCGATCAGGCTGTCGTTACTTCTCTTGTGTTTGCTTTCAAGGAAAATTAACGACGGTTCTGAGCTCCACCGGATTCAATCTGGTCTTTCAGGATTGTCGTCTTATCCACGATTACTTTTCAATAATCCTAGTCCCACGACGCACCGCCTCTACGCTTTTGCAGAACCCCTGTCTCGAGTGCAGTCACGACATGGCAGATACCCCGTTCATCTGCTAGGCTAAGTTTGGTTCGTAGGCGTTGCTTTTAGGTTGACGATGCAACCTGCAGAAGGTCCTTATCGTCGAATGTTGTAGCGCAGTGGCTGCTTGTTAAACATTCTCTGATCCGTAATCATCCATGTTGAAATTAAAGGAGGCTGCATACGATGTAGTGAGCAGAAAATTGCCCCGCTCGATGTTGCTACGCACTATTGGAGCGATATTTCCGCTTCAATACTTGATGCCTCGTCATACATGGACTGCTCAAGACATTGTGGTGGAGCTTCCTGCTGTAGGATGCACCATTCAGAGTTGTAATGTGCAGAAGGAAGTTGTCTGTTCGAGCTACTTGTTAAAGCCGACACAAATAGTGCAGACTTCAGTTAACCAGTTCAACTTAACATAAGTACCTTGCTCTGGTGTCATCCGAGGTTTGAGTCCATTTTCTAGACGAGGAACGGTTATGGTTGTGCGCATAAACACGATTATTGAGAATTGGCCACTGACAGACTGGGCCAGTATCGCCTTCAACCACCTGGTCCAATCGCGATCAGAATAGTTGTTGTTCAATTGGCCGTGCACCTCTCACCAGTTTGAAAAACATCTGCATGAATGATCAAGGTTGCCAGCCGGCCCGCGGCCATCGCCATCGACTTGTAGCTAAAAGCTGTCAATAGCGACTTTCAATGTTGTTGGCATGGCCAAACGGATGCTAAAATTCCGTATACCAGTTGCAGCTCGGTACGTGCGGCCCGGTATGTTAGCTGGCAATGGCGGCCATTCGATGTGATCCTCTGACGGGCGCGGAGCTGGCGCCGTGTCGGTCAATTGCAGCCTGAGGATTAGTACCGCCGCATGCAGCTAGTCCTAGAGGGCCGCCCGGGTTCCGGGGTTCCGCTCGAGCCTAGATCGTCGGACACTGTCACGTGATAAGCCGCGGAAGGTTGGGAAACCGCCGCGCGCGTACTCGCCGCGTTAACAGTGCATATGCGGTGGCTGTGGACATCATCATTACCACTGCCAGAGTCTTGCACGGCTAGTTCGCACTGCGCAGCTATCCAGCATGCTAGCGCCCTCATGCACGGCGCCTGCATAGTTGCGGCGCCCTGTTGCAGCAAGTGCCGTAGAAGTACCCACCGCAAATGGCATGGCGTCTCAATATTAGCAGGTTGATGACAATGTGATCGGTGTTGTTCTCCTTCTTGACAACAATCAGGCGCGTACCTGGTCCTTCAGAAACTCTGGGAGTGACCATGGCAGGCCACGGCAATGCGCTAGCGCTGGCGCGAACGATGCTGGAGCAGAGGCGACTGGAAGCTGAGAAGCTGCGGAGGAGCAAGGGTGTCCTGGAAGAGCAGGTGAGATTCCTCCGGGCAAATGATTTGAAGCGTTCGCATGTTTACTAGTCCAAGTCGCTCGGTGAGTGAATGGCATTTAAAAAAGTAAAAGGGGCCCTCGGTGTTTTCGTAAAGCACACCACATTCATCTGCAGAAGATGACAATTTTTGCAGCCGATTTTGAGCTGTTTCTGGCCAGTTGTGCCGAGAGGGTAAGTCAGCAACAGACCGGGCGGGTAGTTTGCCCCTCAAGTTTCTGAATTCCTGGAAGGGTGCCGTGCAGCCTGTGGGACATGCACGAATCTGATATGCCCTTTCAACCATTCTTCTTGCCTGCAGGAGAAAGCCATCCAGGAGGAGATCCGCGTGGCTGAGCAGCTCGTCGCGTCTCTGGGGGGCGCTCCGGCTGCACGTGTAGCAGACCTTCCTCCTCCGCCTGGGTTCGAGGATTGGGCGCACGCCCCCACTAGGACTGGCCCTCGTGCAGCGGCAGGCGGGGCCAATCCCTGGGGGCGGTCACCTTCCTTTGGCAACACTGGGCCGCAGAGATCTACGGAGCCTTATCTGTGCGTGCTGTGGCTGGGGTACCCCCGGGGCGGGGAGGTGACAGCGGAGGCAGAGCTATGTCGGCAGTGCAAGTTGGGGGCCGGAGACGATGGGCAGGTGGCGGACATCATCACGAAGCTGACCCGTGGAGGTGCTCCCTGCCAGTATATCGAGTTCACAACAGCGGCCGGGGCTGCTGCGGCACAGGAGCACCTCTCAAGGGTTTTGCCCAAGGAGGTTTATGTCAGACATAGGTCAGATCGCACTCCTGACTTTGACTTTGCTCTCTATTCTGGACTTTGCACAACCTTCCCATCGCACTGATCGAGTCTCCTAAGAAGAGCTGGTTTGCGTACCAGATTACTGAAGGTTTCATTCAGGGCAAAAGGGTGAGACATCTTCCCATCAATGGATCATTCGGTTTCTTGGATCCTTCATAAGCAGACCGATGAGTGGCCAGCGGCAGTAGCTGGTCTTGACCAAGCGAAATTGTGATTTGCAGCCGCCAGAGCATGGAGTCTGTGAGGAATGCCATGCCGCCAGGGACTTACGGGCTGCAGCAGCAAACCCGGGGTGCACCGCCAGAAGCGAACAACGGCGCCACCGCTTCTGAGACGCGGGCACGGACAAGGACGCGAGGTGAAGAAGGGGAGGGGCCCCGTCCAAGGAAGAGGCTGAGGGAGGAAACGACCACTGGAAGGGAGGGGGGGAGCCAAGCTCAGGAGGGCGAAAGTAGCGGGAAAGGGAAAGAAAAGGTGGCAGATGAGCAGAGGGCTGAGAGGCGCAGGGGAAGGTCTGCGGGGCCATCAGATGGAGGAGAGGCAGTGGAAGACAGTGCGCCACAAAAGAAGAAGAGAAGCGAGGAGACCAAAGAAAGCAGGGAGGTGCGTAGGGGAAGGGAGGGGGAGGGAGGCAATCAGGGGGAGGCAGAGAAGGCTGCGGCTCTCGAGAAGGAGAAGTCTGAGAAGAAGGAGCGGCGGCGGCAGTCGAAGGCGCGGGCAGTAGAGGAAGCGGAAGCGGCCGCAGCGGCGGACGAGAAGTGGCGGAGAAGGGAGGAGAAGCGGGCGGCGAAAGAGGCGGAGGCGAGTGCGAGGGCGGAGGCTGCTAGAGGCGGGGATGGAAGAGATGATTCGGACAGGCCAGGGCCGTCCGGGGTCCGTCAGGGGGCGAACAATGCGCGTGGTGACTCGACCAGGAGGGAGGCTGCTTCGCCAGGACGGCGACAGGTGGCGCTTGCAGGCCCCTCCACTCCTAGGGGAGCGGCCAGTCGGAGGGCCCCATCAGGTGCGGTGCTAGACTTGGCAAGAGGCGCCAGTTGTCTCCCTCAGCAGCTAACCTTTGGCTTCTACTTTGGTCAAGGCACTGTGTTTACTCATGGTTTGTCAGGTTCGCTTGAGGTCAGCGCTGCATGTGGATTTGCTTAGATGTTATCGATGTGACATCGCAATCTTCTGACAGTTTCTAATACTTTTGAATGGATGCAGCGGTGATTGACCTGGTGAGCCAGGTAGGGAAGCGGGCGGAGGTGCCTGTCCCGGGCCGGGCGTCCATCAAATACTGTGCGCCGATTGTCAACATCAAAATGCGGGACCTGAAATGGAGCCGGAAGGACGACAACACGTTCCTAGTGAAGTGAGCATCTCTCCTGCACACGAGTTGAATTCGTGGGCTTTTTCCTTTTGTTATGCTGAATGAGCGTAAGGCAGCAAGTGTTCATTCGTTCCAAATTTGTACTTCCAGCCGCTTCTTCTGAGAGCAGCACCTTTGTAACGTATTGTAACATACGGCTTTGGCTGGAAAGGCTCGTATCTTGGAGACGAACACTTGCTACACGGAAAGAGAGAGAGGAGTCACAAGATACTCCAAGTTTTCGCAGATCCTCGAGACGTGAATTTCAACTCGTTCACTTGTCGGACTTGAAATTGAGCCCGGTGTTCTGAGTGGCCTTTCTCCAGAGCTGTCAGTCGCTCACGGTTCCCTGCAAGGTTTGTCATACTCATTTGTTTTTTTAATCTGTCGCAGTCAACACAATGGGAAAATTGTTTCCTGGACGGTGGTGGATAACGGGTGAGCTGCCTATCTCTCTTCTGAGACGCCTCTTGAGATCAAGCCAAGATATTCGGTTGATGCGTCCCACCTCGTCAATCTGCTCGACAACTATTCGGGTCTGAAAAGAAAAGGATCAGTTTGTCTAGCACTTGCAGCCCCGTGAATCCTGTCCTTTCCTACATTACCTGTGAAACTCGTCCTTTTAAGCCTCAGCATTCATCCAAATGAATTCCTGGACTGCTTTTCACGATCCAAGCTGTCGCTGTCGACAAAGAGTCCGTCCGTATCTAATCAGATTGCAGCAAGCTCCCACTGAAACGACTCCTTGTCTTGTCATTGCAGCTGGGGCCTTGAGGAGGGACCGGCGGTGCCCGTTCTGAACAGCGTCCAGAAGTGGGTGGAGGACTTCGTCCCGTTTGACGAGAACCGGGTAGCGGTGGTGTACACGCCGCCCCCCAAAAAGGACGCCGCCGCACCGGGGGAGCAGCTGGGAATGGTGGACCTGCAGGTGGGGCCTCAAAAACCGCACTTCCCCTCTCTTTAATCAAATGTGGATAAGCCCTTTGCTTAACAGATAGTAGATAAGGCGCAGGAAAATATGAGTTTTTTTTCCAACGCAGCCGTGGGCATCGGTGTTGCCGCTTTCAAGAGACGAAATTTGTCTTTGAGCCTGGTACTACCCAGTAAAGGGCTTAGCAAGGGTTGATTGTGACTGATTCTGGGATGCAAACGCCGCGACGATGGAAGCCGTTGCATCGCGGGGCTGGACTTTCTCTTTCAAGGGAACAGTCGAAGAAGTAAAGTTCAGCTTCTAGGGGCTTGTATTGCAACTCATGCTGCCAGGATCTCTGACCCAGCCCATTGTAGAGGCCGGATCGGTCCCAACGCTGATCTCTTTAATATGCTGATCTCGTTGGTATGCTGAGAGCAAAGCGGTGTTCTTCTGGAGACCTCATCTCACACAGGCTTTTCTGTTGGTCTTACTCCTGGTGACTTGGACCAGCGTTGCCACTTCACTGTTACGCACTTTCTTACACTTAAGGCGCACTTAAGGCGCCATCTTCCTTCTTGCAGTCCCAGCGCATAACCTTCGCCCGGGACACCCCTCACGAACGCGGAGCATTCTGCGTGGCAAACCTTCCCGGGTCCGTGAATGCTGCCCGCCTTGCGACCGGGGGAATGCACCACGAGGTGGTGGGGTGGTCAGTCCTGGAGCGGAGCAGCGGCCTCGTCTTCAAGGTGAGCACAACACAGTCCACCTGATTTTCCTGCCGGTTTAGCTGCTTGGGAACCTTGATACTCGTCCTTCTGCGCCAAAGGAGATGGCTAGTGGATGGCTAGTGTTGTGCGTCTGGCCAGATATCGATGCTCGCCTGCTTGTTCGGGATTGACGGCAGGAGTCGAGCAGATTCGCGAAGTCCTTGAGCGACTTGTACACCTGCCAGGACACTGTTCGTTACGATGTGGGTCTTAAAGACTCCCTTGACTGAGTGAGATTCCTGAGTATTTGAGTACGAATTTCTTCTCTCGTCGAGCAAGGCGTCTTCTAATCGTGCATAGCTTTCGATCTCATGTGGATAATAGGCCATGTTGACTAAGGACTGAGCTCGGGGACACAAACAAAAGTGAACACAGAATTGATATGCTCTTCCGTACCCCCTATCGCAGCCGACGGTCCTCCACTCGCGGCACTCGTCGTGCGTGAGCCACCTGGCGGTGCTGCGGCACCGGCCCACGCTAGTGAGCGCGGGGCTCGACGGGCGGGTCATCACGTACGACCTGCAGCACCAGCAGGCGGACGAGCTCGTGCCGCGCCGCTCCAAGCTGCCCGTCTACCGCGCCATGCAGAACCCGGTGGACCCCAACCTGATGCTCCTGCAAATCGGGTGAGTGGCCAAAGTCTTTTGTGTAGTGTTCGGGCAGCCGTAAAGTAAGTAGTCTCCGAGTCGATATCTGGAACTCTTTCTTCTTCGGGAACAAAACAAAGCTCGCAGGACCCTGCTCCGCTTCTTCCCGGCTGCTTCCTCGCTTATCTCGAGTGTCCCAACACCAACTTCATGATTGGGTTGATTGGGACTTCAAGTTTTCTGCACAATTAGTGACGAGAGCGCCCTTTCGTGGATTGTCCAGTCCTTTGCAAGAGTCGTGCGACAACTGGCGTCGAAGCAGCAGCACTCTTTGCAGAGCGTGCTTTGAACAGCTGCGCAGACCAGCATGTTTGCACCTTCGCTCGAAAACGTGTTCTTTGAAACCGTCTTTGAACGACGAAAGTTTGGATCTCCCCGTAAGGGAACGGCCAGTCCGCGTGCTTCGGTCCTGCAGAACCGTCAACCTGGCACTGCAGCTGTCGCCGATTCAGCGCACAAAGTCTCGAAGCTTTTTTTGACTAGGGGGCACTAGGCCTGGGCCGTTCGTGGCTCGCAGGCGTTCTCTCGCTAAGTCTTTCGGCAGCTTGCTGACATGCGCGGCGCATTTTGTGTGCAGGAAGCCGGGGCTGCAGTACGAGCTGCGGGACTTGCGGGTGCCGGGGCCGGTCCTCGGCTGCTTCGGGTGGCGGCCGATCGCCAAGGTCCAGCAGGGGCCAACTAGTGCGGGGAGCTGGTCGCCCGGGGGAGTGCTGGTAGCCTCCGGGTCGACAGACTCCAACATCCACCTGTTTGATATCCGCAAGCGGTGCGATTCGCCGCTGGTGTCGCTTGACGTGGACAAGAAGACGAAGTCGACGCTCTGGTACGGAGGGGGGTCGGTGATGATCACGTCAACCGCGAAGAACAACAGCCTCTGCTTGAGTAGGCTGAATTTGTGAACCGGAGCAGAAGGTCAAAGGGTTTGAAAATGCAGAGATGGAGAATCTTGTGGTCTTCTTCGCCAGAAAGCAGTTGTAAGAGTCACCACTTATAGTGAAGAGCTGCCAATGGAAAAGGACAGAGGGCGCTTGTGTGGTGCAAATGCGAGGCTTTGCCTCCTCCCCACGGCCTTCAAGTCCATAACAAACGCGTTCTCAGGTGGTGGCGGATTCTATCTGCAGCCTGGCGCTCGCGAGAGCAAATTGCTCGTGAGGGAGAGACACATGATTTCTCTCGTTCAAGTGAGAAACTCTCTAAGGCGACGCAGATTAACAGCCAGATCGAAGTGTCATTCCTGAAAAACGTGCTTTGATGTAGCCGGCGTTGATTAGGCGTGTATACTAAGTTCTCTGCTCTGCGCTGACCTTCGAAGCGGGCTGAGCACAGTATCTTATTGTAGCCATTCATTGTAGGCGATTGCCCCCAATATGTGAAATAAAAGGTGCACCGCAGCAGCAGCATCGATTCAAGCAGCGGTTCATGATGCATGAGACTGACCAATCTCAGTTGGATGTACCACTGATCGAGTCGTCGAGTTTAACGCCGGTTTTAGATTGTTTCGTTACTGAACGGCCTACCAAACATACAATTGGTAAGCCATCCGACGGGCAGTTTACTAAAGGTGCCCAGTGACGTACGAGCCTGGGCGTACAATCCCGTCTCAATGATGCCAGCCAGACCGTCTGACTCACTGCGATAATTACTAAACCTGAGCATGAAATGCTTCGGATCTTCGTCAACTATATATATAGCTAGAAAACCGTCATGCGTTGAGTCACTGCAAGGCCGCGGGTCCGCATGCACGTAGCTCTCTTAGTAGTACATCAAAAGGAGCATATAAACTATACCTGAAGTAGAATTCTCCATTGTTGCCAGCAGCAGTCGGCGGCCAGCTCTATGACATATCATGTATATATATGTGTCATCCATTGCAATGATGCACGCGAATTTATGTACGTATAGCTATAAATCAGCTTGTGGACATGTCAGATCACACATGGCCGTGGCAGGCGCACATTCCCACGGGCCTGGCATCACCCAGCATAGGTATGCTTATATGATATGCACCATGCACGTGCACATGCCAGCACAGGGCCGGCCACACCAAACTCAGGAGCCTGGCTGCGCAGATGCATTCAATCCTTGGGAATCAGCTCTACTGCCAGACATATGTAAATGTTGCACTCAGCTTATACCCGTGGATTGATTGCAACATTGAACCCAACAATCATACTGTAACTGAGTCAAGCAATAGATATGTGAACGATACAAGCTCACAGCTGGTCGAGTCTCCAACAAGCATTGGCAGCGGTGCAGAAAGGAATACGATTTGAAAGAATCTGGTGATCAGCTTGATTGAAACCTGTTGGCAAAACCTGGACCCGCTGATTGACAAATCTGTATCAATGGATGGTTCATCGACAGTGGTAAGGTACAACAGACGGCAGGGTCAAACTCATTCTGCCTACCTAAAACTGGATGGCAGCTTGCTTGGAAAGCGGTGAACACCTCTATTCCTGAGCATCAATAAATCGCGGCAGTTCGATACCCCTGCCTGGCATAAATGGGCAAAAGTCCTGGCACCGCCAATGCTGGCCCGCTATGCTTTCCTATGTGTACTGTATACGCGAATTACAAGCTGGCCTTGGCTGCCTCAACGACCTTCTCTGCCGTGATGCCGAAGTTCTTGTAGAGGGCGCCGGCGGGCGCGCTCGCGCCGAAGTGGTCAACGCCGATCGCCTTGCCGCCGTCACCCACATACTTGTGCCACCCTTGGGTGCTCCCGGCCTCGATCGACACCTTCGCCTTGACTGACTTGGGCAAAACCGACTCCTTGTACTCCGGTGACTGCTTCTCGAACAACTCCCAGCACACGAACGACGCCACGTTCACCTTCTTGCCCTCGCCCCTAAGTTCCTTAGCAGCCGCGACGGCAATCTCGAGCTCAGACCCTGTTGCCAGGATGACAACGTCGGGCTTGTCCGCATCCTTCTCAACCAGGTACCCGCCCTTTGCCACGCCCTCCACTGAGGTGCCGGGCAGGTGGGGCAGCTTTTGCCGGGACAGGGCCAGGATCGAGGGGGTCTTCCGGCTCTCAATGGCGATCTTGTAGGCGCCGACCGTCTCCTTGCCGTCAGCGGGCCTGAACATGTAGATGTTGGGCATCGCGCGGAAGCTGGCCAGGTGCTCGATGGGCTGATGCGTGGGGCCGTCCTCTCCGAGGCCGATGGAGTCGTGCGTCATGACGTGGATCACACCCGCCTCGCTGAGGGCAGACAGCCGGATGGCGGCGCGCATGTAGTCGGTGAAGATGAAGAAGGTGGCGTCGTACGTGATGAGGCCCGAGTTGTGGAGGTGGATGCCGTTGGCGATGGCACCCATGGCGTGCTCGCGCACACCGTAGCGCAGGTTGCGTTCCGCGGGGGTGGCCTTCTGGAAGTCGCCGAACTGCTTGAGCAGGGTCATGTTGGAGGGGGCCAGGTCAGCGCTGCCACCCAGGAAGCCGGGCAGCACGTTGGCGACGGCGTTGAGCACCGTCTGGGAGATGTTGCGGGTGGCGTCAGCGGCGCTGTCAGTGGTGAACTCCTGCGAGAGGAAGGAAGGGGAAAGTCAGCCATGGATTCCAGGCATTGTGCAGCAACACGGAATCCGTAAGAGGGAGGTGTGCAATCTAGTAGACACCAAAGGAAACTTTAAAGTGCTTAGTAGCCCGAACTACCTAGAAAATCGGGCTAACCGACTACCAGAAGGGTTTACAACTACAAGGAGATTGCAGCTCAACGTCATTGCTGCTTCTAGTGAAGGTTTACAAAAGAGAGAAGAAGACGCTCCTGAAATGCAGCCAGCCTGCATAGCTGCATAGCCCCAGCTTTTTGCAGAAGTGGGGGTCTGAAACAAAGTCTCCAAAGGAACTGCATATACAGCATATATTACTCCCTCCTTGCGAAGAAAATTTGGAGAAGTGTGTCCGCTCAACCGCTTGCAAACAGATCCTAGAAAGGGTGCATCTGATGAATCAAGTCGTAGGGGAGAGCGCAGCGAGAGAGTATCAAGAAAGACAAGATACCATCTTGCTTGCAGGAATTGCCAACGGTTGTAGACTATACTTAAACAGAGAGGTGACAATACTTCACGCCCATCGCTCACCAACCCTAGACAGTGTCAGAGCATTATTGTCTGCCAAGTGTAACATTGGGTCTGTACGTGGTTCAAACAAGGTAGCCTTGAGAACGAGGCTCTTTTCCAGGCAGGAAGCTTACGAGAAGCCTGAAGCTTCCTCTCCTAAAAATGGGATCTTCCAGCGCGTGTAGCTCGATGCAATCTCCTCCATCGCAACCCTATTCTTGGTGGTATAAACTGCCTTGGTATGAACTGCATTTGTGTCTATTTTCGGTGTTCTGCCACTAGTCTCCTGTACTCGTTGACAGAACGAGCCAACCCTAAAAGGCAGCGTTCAATTCCATTGGATGCGCATCTTCAGTTTCACAGAAAAAGAATGCCAATGGCGAAGAAGCGCAATGCTGCACTCACCGGCAGAGCCTTCTCCCAGCCCTCGGGAAGCTTTCCGCTGATGAGCTGCTTGAACTCGGCGCCCTCCTCCGGGTACTTCTCGACGTACTTGGCGAGTGCTGACTCCCAGTCCTTCTCATACTCAGCGCCGGCATCCGTCTTGTCCATGTTACTGAAGAGAAAAAATGGATTGTCAGGCCCTTCCAGCAAAGGCGCCTTATGTCTCAACACTTGAAAATTGCGAGACAATCTTTGACCACATGAGTAGAGCAGATAGCAACTTCACGTGCAGAGCATGACTTCTAAAAGCCCTTGCCTGCGGGGCAGCAGACTGTACGTCTGCTCCAATCTAGAGCACAAGACCATCCTCTTGATGGTAACGATCAGCGGTTCAACAGAGCGCGCTCAACTTGAAAGGCCACCTCAAATGCTGCGGTCGTCATTTGGCATTGGCATTCCAGCAACAAAATGCGGAAAAGATGCGAGGACTCACGCGTAGACCTCATCCGGAACCTTGAACGGCTCATAGGGCCAGCCGAGGTTCTCCCTGGTTGCAGCAACCTCCTTGCCTCCCAGCGCCGCCCCGTGCACTCCGTGCGTGTTCGCCTTATTAGGAGACCCGAACCCAATGGTGGTGGACACCTTGATGAAGGTGGGCTTGTCAGTCACAGACTTGGCCTCGTCAATGGCCTTGCGCAGAGCATCGAGATCAGTGTTTCCCTCCTCGACGTGGATTGTGTGCCAGCCGAGAGCATCGAAGCGGGCCTGCACATCCTCAGTGAAGGCAATGTCTGTGTGACCGTCGATGGAGATCTTGTTGTCGTCGTACAGGCAGATCAGCTTGCCGAGGCCCCAGTGACCAGCAAGGGAGCCAGCCTCATTGGAGATACCCTCCATGTTGCATCCATCCCCCAAGATGCAGTACCTGCAGATATGCAATGAGACGATTCAGAACGCATATCTTTCCGCATATACGGCACAAAGAAAGACCACAAGGGAATGCAAACAAGCAAGAGTCCTTTCCTGATGCAGAAGGAGGGTACCTGGTGTCTTGCGTGCCCCGTGTCTTGCAATCGTGCAAGACGAATTGACGTAAGAGGATGCAAAGACTGGAGGCAAATTCCCGCACATGATAGTAAAGTTGGCTGCCAATAGTGGACACACTCACGTGTAGTGGTCAACAACCTTGGCATCAGGCTTGTTGTACCGAGCAGCCAAGTGAGCCTCAGCAAGGGCCAGACCAACGGCGTTCGCAATACCCTGGCCAAGGGGCCCTGCCAAAGAAGAGGGTTTTGATAAGTGGCTTGCGAGCAAAATGGTTAAGTGGCAGTTGCGTGTTCACATGACTTCCAAACACCAGCCTGCATTCAAGTAAGGCAGAGTGCTGTCCGGCTCCAGAACCTGTCCATCATTCAATGGGTTGAAAACAGAAAAGGAACTCCAAGCCTGGCAGCTACATCGGCTCACCGGTCGTGACTTCCACTCCTGGTGTCTCGAAGTTCTCGGGGTGACCAGGGGTCTTGCTACCCCACTGCCTGAACTGTGACAGATCCTCAGTCTGCACCACAAAAGGTCACGGATCAATGCCTCATGTCGAAACATATGCTCTATTCAGAGTGAAATGCACCGTCAGACATTGGTTTCTGCAGAAAGCTGTGTTCAAGCCTATATCAGATCTGCTACCTGGAGAGACAATGCAGACCTAAGCGAGATATCTCTTGTATGATGAAGTGGTGCATCTCATCTGCAGTCTCTAGTAGCATGACACTGACAAGACTACCAGAGTCGCCTCACCTTGACGCTGTCATACCCGGCCAGGTGGAGCAAGGCGTACTGGAGCATGCAACCGTGACCAGCGGAGAGCACAAACCTATCCCTGTTGAACCAGTAAGGGTTCTTGGGGTTGAACTTCATTGTTTCATTGAAGAGGACATATGCCATGGGTGCACAGCCCATAGGGAGACCGGGATGGCCAGAGTTTGCCTTCTCCACAGCGTCGATAGCCAGGAAACGGATAGCATTGATGCTCTTGTCGACAACCTCAGGGGACACCTTTGAGGGCGCCTTGACAGCGGCGGTTGCCCTGATCCCTTGCTTCTTGGCACTCCTCTTGACTGCGGCCGGCTGGCTGAAAGCAGCAGTCTCGCTCCTGCTCTCAGAGACGCGGCGGAGGCCAGCGAAGTTGCCCAGGGAGGCCTTGGTGGCAGAACGTCTGCACACGGGGGCAGACATCTGCACATTCTTCTGGGATGACACACCTGCTGCGGCGGCAGCGAAGGTGGCCCCGGCCGAGGCCAGCGAGGACGCTTGGACAGCCTGCATGGTGGCGGCCTCTGCTTACTACACTGGATCTAGAGAGGTCCTTCGAACGCAAGAGGACCTCGCAACGACCACTTCGCTGCGTCGTCCTGAAACGTCTTTCCTGACTTCAGCACAAATTTGCAAGCATTGCTAGCCAAGCTGACAGAGGAGGTTGCTGGGCCTGGCCAATGCTGGCATTCCATGGCTGCTTCGCTCATGCTCATCCTGCGGCGGGCTGTTTCCCACCCTCGATCTGGCCACACTTGTGGCTCAGACTCCATCTGAGATGGACCAAATCCACTGCGGGCAAACCCTGGCCGTCCAAAAATCTGCGGATTGGTCTGGCAAAGGGGGGGACCAAACGCCGGCAAACGTGGGGGAGGATATCCGCCCCCTGGTCTTCAAAACTTGCTGTACGTTGAGATTCAGCACGCCGGGTTTGTGAGCGCTGACCTGTAGTGAGCTGTGGTTTTCGAAGCCTGGTCCGCTTACAGTCAAATTGAAGATTCTCCCCAGATTCTGGTCCGTAAGATTCAACACGTGGTAACGTGTTTTACTGGTTCTCAATTGCTCGGACAGGACTGCTTGTCGGACGCAAGCTGAGTAGCATCTGACAAGTCCGAACCGTCCGAATGGGGTTTTGAGCGTGCTGACAACTTGGACCCTTTCTAGGGAGGACTTGGCAGTGACAAAAACTTATGCTGGTGAGTTGCACAGGGAGCTCTTGAAGTTGAAACTTCATTGTCAAGAGTCAAGACTCATCATCGCTCTGTTGCGCAATGCATGAACTGGACGAAGGAAGGTGCTGACTCGAAAGCTCGCTAGGAAAACTGCAGCGACTTTGCGACGAAGAAAGTCGTAAGCACAAGGTGACGAATTGACAACATACAACCAGTCCTGTGTTCCTCCTCGGAGAGTCGCCGCATCATCTGTGCTTGACGAAGTTCCTGAATCAAAGATTGATTGCTCAATCGTCATTAGGGTCCAGAAGGTTCAAGACCTTGGTAGCGGTGTATATTGTGTTTTTGAATCTGTGCTGCTTGAGATCCTCGCTTCGCCACTCTTAGTGCAGCCCAGTTTTGTCCCCCCAGATGCCGCGGCCCCCGTGCCGCCCCCTCCCTTTAGCCATGGGACCCTAGGCGCCCGAAAAGCTGGAGCCTGCCGAGGACTCGTACAGTGACTTTCTGTTTGAGGAGTCAGGGAGGATGCCCTACTCGCTCAACCTCCAGAGGCCGCCCGAGAAGGTCCGTGCGGGATGGGAGGGCGACGACTCCCTCGACCCCGGCACGCCGCGCCGGCGCTTCTCGCTCTCCACACCCGAGCACTTCCGCACCACAATGCACCGCGGGGCGTCCTTTTCTGGCGACGACACTCTGCGCGTGCTCAGCCAGCAAGCCGGCGGCGCGGCGCCCTCCCCGGGGCGGGGTAAGGACATGAACCTCACGCCGTCCTTCTCGTCGTCGCGTGTGGAGCGGCTGCTGCGCGAGCGGCAATTGCGGCGCAGCGGCAGCGCATTCCAGCTGGGGGACGAGTCGGTGGAGTCTGACTTTGGGCTGACGAGCCGGCAGGGCAGCTTTGACGGCAGCGTGACCAGCATCTCGGAGAAGCAGGCATCGCCAGTGCTGCCCGCGCAGCGCCTCATGGTCGTGGCGAACCGGCTGCCAGTGTCCGCCACACGTCGGCCCGATGGGTCGTGGCAGCTGGACCTCAGCGCAGGGGGGCTCGTGAGTGCGCTGCTGGGTAAGGGTTTATGGCGCAGAAGGATTTCTAAGACGTGCCTTGCCCAGATGATGGTGGTCAGCAGATGGAGACGGAATGCAGTCTTCGCCGTCTGAAAATGTTTTTAGTTGTCGACTAAAACTCTGCAATGCATGCAGACAGGTTGATTCCTAGATGCTTGTATTGGCGCCCAGATTATAGAAAGCGGTGCAATGGACGAATTGTCACTTCTCAGGGGTCCGCAATAAGAAGCGGTCCACCATGGTGAATCACATTTGTAATGTAGCGGCTTTTAAGCGATGCCCAGATCCACAACTTTCCCGCGATGTCTTCCTCAGAAGTCCAGCACTGTGTTGGGTGGAGTCCCCAAGCACACTTGGAGAACATGGGAACCTTTTTACGTTCAGGTGTGAAGCAGAACTTCGAGACGCGGTGGATTGGGTGGCCTGGGCTGTATGTTCCGGATGAAGCGGGCCGCAAGAGCCTGCAGAAAGCGCTTGCCGACAAGGTGAGAAGCTTCGCGCATGGTACCGCCGACTTCTCGTATCCCTCTTCCACATTTTCTGAACCTCTTGTCCATTGAAAAGGGGCACTAGATTGCATCAAAGTGCAAACGATCCTCAAAGACCGAAGGGCTTACAGGATTATGTCATTCCGAACTGATGCCCATATTCCACCAGAGCTTTCAAGTGTTCCCTTTGGTCCCAGTAGTAATGAATACGGACATGACAATTCCAGGTAGAACAGATGCACGAGCCAAGGCGCCACCACCAGGCATGGCGCACATAAGCCCCTCGGAAGAAAGATTGCCTGCAACCAAGCCCCGTTTTACCTTGAGTGGGGGATCAAGTCCTCCTGATCTCGTTTCCCAGTTTTCAATCTCAATACAGGAGGAGTTTTAAGCAAGAAACTACATGTAAAGGAAGTCGGCCTTGTTTGAGTGTGATGCCCCCGTTCTCTGCAGGGGTGCGTCCCTGTGTTCCTGGACGAGAACACGGTGGACCAATACTACAACGGCTACTGCAACAACGTGCTGTGGCCGCTCTTCCACTACATCGGCCTGCCCACGGAGGACCGGCTCGCCGCCACGCGCAGCCTGCAGAGCCAGTGGGCCGCCTATAAGCGCGCCAACGAACAGTTTGCTGACACAGTTCTCTCCCAGTATCAGGTTTGTGCGTGCTACCCCTGGTGCGCACTGATTGGAGTCTTGCTTTTTGGTTTGCAAAAGGGGTGTGCAGCTTCCGGTGTTCTGGCCCATAGTTTGAAGAAGGGATGGGCAGGTTCGTGACTCCTATTGGGAATGCGAGCTTAAAGTGGGCGTAGGGGTCTGACGGACGCCGTCACCGTGTTGCTCTCTTGACCAATCATCGCAACGATCTGGGCCGTCCGATCGCCATTGCAAGCGCGCTTGCTATGCCAACTTTAGAACCCGACGTCTATGGGACCCGACCGTAGTAAACCGTGTGTCTGTGCTGTTGACGCCCGTCGCGCTCTGTCTTTCCAGGAGGGCGACGTGGTGTGGTGCCACGACTACCACCTGATGCTGCTGCCCAGCTACCTCAAGAACCACCACACCCAGATGAAAGTCGGCTGGTTCCTGCACACTCCGTTCCCCTCATCCGAAATCTACCGCACGCTGCCCCTCCGGTCCGAGATCCTCCGGGGCGTCCTGGCCGCGGACCTTATCGGGTGAGGGCGAATGTCGATTGTCGCTTTTGCCAGTTCATTCGAACGAGACACGTCTCCTTGGAAGGTCGGCACTTCCTTTTTCGACAGCCCAATTTTCGGAGGAGCCTTTTCCGACAACCCAGCTTTCGGAGAAGCTTGTTATTAAGTGGGCATCTTATTCTGGTAAGCAAAATATTGAGACTGAGCCCTAAGGATGGCTCGAAGAGGCAGCTGCGACCTGTCCAAGAGTCCAATCCAACTGCAAACACCGTCCAGTGTACAAATGAGCTCGCGGAGCTCTACGCCCATGAAAGAGCTTCGGAAAAACATACGAAGGAAAGCCACATGATTTGTAAGGAAGAGGGAAGCGAGAAATTGGGCGCTGGAAGTTGCTGCAGCGCACAGTGAGGAGGAGCTTCCGTATAAACACGAGAATATTTGGCCCAGCGACCCAGATAGAGTCACTTGATTGAATTGAAAGTCCGTGTAGATTCAAAGCAGGCTGCGCAATGCTGATCGAAGTTGCCCTCCCGTCGCAGTTTCCACACGTACGACTATGCGCGTCACTTCGTAAGCGCGTGTACGCGCATCCTGGGGCTGGAGGGCACGCCAGACGGGGTGGAAGACAGCGGGAGCGTTACTCGGGTGGCTGCGTTCCCAATCGGGATCGACCCCGACCGCTTCACGCAGGCGCTCGAAACGGACGTGGTCAAGACGCACATTGCCGAGCTGAAGGCGCGCTTTGCTGGGCGAAAGGTGGGGCGCTGGGATTGTCGTCGTTCTTTGGATAGTCAAAGGATCACTGGGGCTGCGAGCTGAGTTCTTTGCTACGTTGGCGAATGCTTCGTCTGAATTGCTGACAGACTTGAGGACGAATTGCAGAGTTGGTCAGGACGGTATGGAGAAGCCCTCGTTTGGACATTTCTTGTTGATGGTCGTGAAAGCAATAAGAATCTGCTCAATATGCTAGATTGAAGTCCATCTTTCTCCTTAGCCGGTAGACTTGATTCTGCCTGGGCAGTTCAAGCCCGATACTGACGGAGAGCGGATGATCAGTCCGCTCCATCCGAATTTCCGCGACTCTGGCTCCTGGTGCCTGTCGCTGACGTGATGCTGACGTCGTTGGCGGGCGGCGCAGGTGATGCTTGGTGTGGATCGACTGGACATGATCAAAGGGATTCCCCAGAAGCTGCTCGCCTTCGAGAAGTTCTTGGAGGAGAATCCCGACTGGATCAACAAGGTAAGATGATTGCGAAGGCAGTCAGCTTTGCACAACCCGCTTTTCCGGTCGCTTGAGTTTGACTGTTGTTATTGCGCGCCTTGTCTTGTTTGCCCGGCATGGTGAGGCCTTCTTAGGATCGGGTGTTCTACGAATCCGTACTTTGACATTGAATTGTTGTCTGGGGTGCCTACCGTGCCACCGGAGCCATCAAAAGGGTATTCTTCCAGCAATATGCGATCGACGACCTACCGTCGAGCATTTCGCACTTTGCAAGTCTGGTGGCCCGTTCATTCTGAAGTGTGTGCATGGCTATTCTTGACCGTTAACTTGTTTCATGCCGTGAGGGAGAGGTGTTACTGCAATCTTTTGACTGTGCCTTTACGCTGCGCAGCAGGTCGTTGTACAATTGTCGACGGAAGCCCTTTCCTTTGCCCGCAGGAAACGGGTTTAGGGAAGGGTCCTCTGAGTTTCACGATGCCCGCTTGCAGATCGTCCTGGCAACTTGCGCGGGTCGGAGAGCTTTGATTCCTTTTCTCCTCCCCGGTCCCTCCTTGTCTCCTCACACGCACTCCCTCCGTCCGCAGGTGCTGCTGGTGCAGATCGCGGTGCCGTCGCGCACGGACGTGCCCGAGTACCAGAAGCTGACGAGCCTGGTGCACGAGATCGTGGGGCGCATCAACGGCCGCTTCGGCACGCTGACCACGGTGCCCATCCACCACCTGGACCGCTCCCTCGCCTTCCACGAGCTCTGCGCGCTCTATGCCATCACCGACGTCGCGCTCGTCACCTCTCTCCGCGACGGCATGAACCTCGTCTCCTACGAGTGAGCCCCGCGAATCTGGAGGTTGGCGCTTTGCGATGGTGAAGTTCCGGACGTACGGCTCGAGAATGTCAGGAATGTGGATTGTGCTTTTTTGGGCTCCACGAACGTCGATACCGTCACTCACTTTATTCGAGAGCGATTCAAGTGGACTCATCAACTTGAAATTTTCCAGTGGCAAGATTCTCTGGGATTTGTCTGTTGACAATCAGAGACCCAACCTCACAGCTCTTCTTTTTCTTGACCCGCCGCTGACTTTACGCCATCCGGTTCCAGGTACGTCGCCTGCCAGAACGAGCGCAAGGGCGTGCTCATCCTGTCCGAGTTTGCGGGCGCCGCGCAGTCGCTCGGCGCGGGCGCCATCCTGGTGAACCCGTGGAATGTGTCCGACGTCGCGGCGAGCATCGAGGACGCGCTGACCATGTCCGAGGCGGAGCGCGCGGAGCGGCACAAGCACAACTTTCAGCATGTGACGGTGCACACCGCGCAGGCGTGGGCGGACACTTTCGTCAGCGAGCTGAACGACACGCTCGTCGAGGCGGAGCTGCGCACGCTCAAGATCCCGCCGCTGCTCTCGCCCATGCGCGCCACCGAGGCCTTCCGGGCCTCGCAGAACCGGCTCATCGTGCTGGTGAGGGGACGGCTGCTGAACCGCTGTTGGGGATGAAGCCGAGATTATTAGGTGCCAGCTTGCGTTCAGAAAGGTCCTCTCGATCGCCGGTTTGTTTCAAGTCTGCTACCCTCTCGTTATTGCAGTACCTTATAGTGATGAAACCTTACTCCTTCTGCCAGCCTTTTTGTGCTAAGCAATCTGAACGGTGCTTGTCTTATCTTTTCTCGACCACCCTGTGTCCCTACTGTCTATTCACGAGTCAGGAGGTTGAAACCGGGAAGCGCTTGGAGCCTAAGTCAGACTTCATGCAGATGCTTAAGTGAGCGACTATTTCATCGCTTGCTTTCGCCTTACGCCCATCTTCTCTGCCAGGGCTGGACGTCGACCCTGACCGCTTCCACAGAGGCCCCCCGGCGGCGGCACCCCGACCAGATCAAGGAGATGAAGGTGCGGCTGCACCCGACGGCGCGCGAGTGCCTGCGCGTCCTCTGCGCGGACCCGCACACCACCGTCGTCGTGCTCAGCGGCAGCGACAGGCAGGCGCTCGACGAGGTCAGTCCCTCTAACGGAAGTCTCCTTGCTTGCGGTGCATTGCTTGGTGGTGCAATACCAATGCCTTCTGACTCTACTGGCAGCGTTTTTGGACCTACACATCCCTGGAAAAGCAAGCAAACTTTGATCCAGGTCGAGCTAGTGGGCTTGGCCTGCACACTTTGACCACCGCTAGTTGAAAGCTTTTTTGGACCTATGATTATCCATGCACCAAAATGAGTGCCGCTAGATTGTGAATTTGATGCTTCAAGGCCCGCGTTCAAGAGCTTTCAGCAGGGTTGGTTGGCGAATGCGCAACTTCTGCAAAGCGAAGCGCAGCGTGCCACAGGACTGTTCTTGCCTTCCCGAACAGTCGGACTGTTTTCAACTGCAACTGTTTGTCCTGTGGGTGACGTCATCTTGCCCGCGTCATCTTGCCCGTTTCTTGCCCGTTTCTTGCGACCGTGACACCGGGCCTTGCTGTGCCTCGTGCAGGCGTTTGGCGACGAGCTGGACATTTGGCTGGCGGCAGAGAACGGGATGTTCCTGCGGCACTCGTCTACGAAGCGCGACTGGATCAACGTCATGCCGGAGCACATGAACATGGACTGGATGGAGAGCGTGCAGGTCAGGAGAAAGCTCGCAACACGCTTGGCGGGCCTACGTGATTTTCTAGAGCGTGTTCAGCTGCAGAAAGAGGTTCCGCTCACGCGAAATTGTCAAGGCGAGTCGGACGGGCAAGTCGACAGAGCAAAAAAGAGAAGGGGAATGCGAGCATGACTGCTCAATGCGCTTTGGATCTGCGTGTCCAGGTTGGTCAATCCTGGGGTCAACGGATAACGATTCGGGTTGAAAAGGCGAGCGTAGTTGGCGGCCAGGTTGAACGACCGTGTCGTTTCCTGTTGAGGGAAGTAGGACGTGCCGCCCCTTCCGAAATATCACGCCCACTGTTTGTGGCTAAGTTTCTCGATGCGTGCTCTGGTGCAGATGGTGTTCGACTACTTCTGCGAGCGTACTCCGCGGTCGTACGTGGAGACCCGGGAGACGTCTCTGGTGTGGAACTACAAGTTTGCAGGTGCGCAGCTGTGCAAAGATGCGTTTGTTCCATCTCCTCACTACCCCTCCGGCATCTCGACGTATTTTGATTACCTTCTTTGGTTCCGCGAGCTGGTTCTTTTCACTTCCGGTTGCTGAGTATTTGACTACATCGTGCAATGGTACAGAACACTTATTTACTGACGTCCAGTCTACTCTGCCGCAGCCCTTTGATTTTGCGCTTTAACACTCATTGCTGGCAAAAAGCAGGTTTATGAACCCTGAACGGTCTGGGTTCATAAACCTCCATGCTGTATCGAGCTCTCGCAATTTCTTTGCTCCACGTATCCAGACCGCCCTTGCTTTTCATTGTTACAAGCTCAGCCTCCGCACATGCCGTCATCCACTCACCTCAAACAAGCACACCATCTTCTTGCCCGCGTTTCTCCCTGCGTCCTCCACCTCTTAACTCCGCTTCCTTCTCCCCGCTAACCGTTCCTTAACCCGTGTGTCCAGACGTGGAGTTCGGGCGCGTCCAGGCGCGCGACATGCTGCAGCACCTGTGGACGGGCCCCATTTCCAACGCGGCGGTGGACGTGGTGCAGGGCAGCAAGAGCGTGGAGGTGCGCCCCGTCGGCGTCTCCAAGGGCGCCGCCATCGAGCGCATCGTCACCGAGATCGCCAACAAGAAGCCGCTGCCCACGCCCGTCGACTTCGTGCTCTGCATCGGCCACTTCCTCTCCAAGGTGACGGCCGTACCCTGGTCGTGTTCGTTCTGCTCATTGATCGACGGTTTCTGTCCGGACATGTGAGTCAGTTTCAGAATCACCGTCCGACCACTTAGATCAGCAGCGGGACGGCACATCTAGTTGCGAGTTATGATGCGGCTTCAGGCATACCAAATTTTTGGAGAGACGGTGGAACTTGGCTGTACCGGAAAGAAATGGCTCGGTCACCAATCGGCCAGTACGCCGGAATAGTGCGTCGCAGAAGCAGGAGGGCAGAGGCGTGTTCGCGCGGCTTGCTGCAATCATTCCCGCAGCGAGGGCAGCCCTTGTACGTGCCCAAGCACGGGGCATCCCTTGCTCCAAGCACAACTAAAGTGTAGCATTGTGCTCGATCCGCTTATGTTCTGAACTACCATCCGCCGATCTTGGTACGTCTCGGGTGCGACCCCCGGTTCATCAACTTTGCAGGACGAGGAGATCTACACCTTCTTCGAGCCAGACGAGCCCGAGCCCGCCCCGGACCCTCCCCCCGAGGCATCCACCTCCGACGCCGCGCACGCCGACCCCTCCTTCCACCGCCCCCCCCCCTCCGCCGCCATGCCGATCACCGAACCGCCCCCCCCCGCGCACGGCCCCCCGTATTCACACCACCTGCAGCACAAGTCGCGGCGAAAAACGAGCGGCGAGAAGAGCCGGCGCGGGGACAAGGGCAAGGGCCACCCGGGCAGCGCGCTCACGCGCTTCCCGAGCAGCCCCGACCGCACCAACGGCGACGGCGGCGCCGTGGGGAGCCCCGGGCAGGCGGCCGCGGTGCGCCGGCGGTGGTCCTGGGACGGCGAGCTGGACCACGCGCTGCTGGACCTCAAGGACGACCACTACTTCTCGTGCGCGGTGAGGACACGAGGCATGCGAAGGCATCCCAAGGCGATATATTTTGAACCGAGGGAATGGAAACATATGGAACACTTGGGTTGTTTGTGCTTTGACGTTCCTGCCGACCAGCCGTGCGGTGGTCTTGGAGGATACCGTCGATGCAGAGGCTTGGGGGGCGGTCTCGGAAAGTGTTGATTGAGTGCATCGCAAATGCAGGGGTTGAGGTATGATGTGTGATATGCACGCTCGGAGACTGGCTGCCTAGATCAAAGCCTGCCTCTGGCCCCTAGTGACTTTGGCAGTGAGTGTTGACCGGCGTGGACCTCTCGCGCCTTAAAGCGACCCTCCAAGCAGCGGATCTGCGGCTGACATTCCCCCCGTTTTGCAGGTCGGCCGGAAACGGTCAGTGGCGCGGTACAGCCTGCCCAACTCGGACGAGGTGGCAGGGCTGCTGCGCGTGCTGGTGGAAACGCTGGACCCGGGGCACCACTTTGAGGTGTACGAGGAGCTGAGGCGGGTAGAAAGCATGGAGCGCATCATGTCTTCCGATCAACTGTCGCGCATGGACAACCTGCACATCCGCGAGCCCATCCCTGAAGTAGCCCACGCATGACCGACCGAGTTCAAAGAGCTCAGAGTGACGGTTTCAATCAGCTTAGGGCGTAGCGGATAGCAGCATGCATGCATTCATCTTCGGCAATCGATATTGCCAACCAATTTAGGCGAGTCCGGGATCATGGAAAGCTTGAGAAGTTAACGGGGTGCAGTCCTTGTTTGGAATGGTCACCATCGGAGCCGTGTGGGCTATCGACCTCAAGAGCCAATTACACGCCCAGGGGTGAACAAAAAGGAGCTCACATCCGAATGTCATCGGTTGTGTAAAGGTTGGCTGCAGCTTGCCGGCCGCGGATTCTGCTTACAGAGAACGTTTGGGCCTTGATAGGTCCTGAACAGCAGTACTTGTGAGAACATGCTTGAAAGATAATTAGCAGATTCTCAGTGATCGAATCTGGTGTCAGTTTGTACAAGTCATTATTTCAATCAACGCCGGGCCAACGGATCGGGCGCGGCAATGATATGAGCGCCCATTGTCACTAGCTAACTAGGCTCCACTCGGCAGAGCCATCCGACGAAGCACTAGCTCTCACCACTCATGTCAGTGCGGTTTCGGAAGTCGGACTCATAGCTGGCAAGAGTTTCTGTCCATGACAGGCTCGAAGAACAAGTGATGCAGACCGCGCACGCGGTACACTTATCCCAGGCTCTTCCAAGCTTCATCCACCATGATTCTTATTGCATATATCAAGGCTCTTTGGGGGCATGAATTTAACATCGTATATACGTAATATATACGTGATATATTCAATGCAAAATTTTATAAAGTGATTGCACTACAAGATGAAATTGCATGATACACTGACTATACATATCATGTGATTCAAATTTTACTGATTCAAAATCATGATCGAACATGTACCGGTATAAATCCATGCTAGTATATCGCACGGCCGCTCGAGTTGGCAAAAACATGTAGCTAGACTCATTGTTGCATCATGTGCAGAACGATCCGCTAGTAGAAGACCGTCAAGTTCCCAGGCCGCCCTGCACACGTACTGACAGCTGGCTCCATGCGCAGTAGGATGCCGGCCCAACACTCGAATCGGGCCCGCGCGGCGAGATCTTTGTCAATGATCATGGATCGAAGTTATTTACGCGTACACTGAGCTGCCCATCATGCAATCCGAAGGTCCCTTCAATTGTTCAGATATTCGGGCCGCGCTTGAATCGTCACAACTCTGTTCATCGTGGCCGGATGGAGTTAAGCACCAGCCCACTGCTTTCGTGAACAGCGACAATATTGATGAAGAGACGTCCAGTCCATGAAAATAATCACGAACGACACTCGTGGATGCTCGTCTCAGAACCCACGGATTGGGTGTGTTTGCCCACTCAGGGACACATTATGCGGGGGCCACACAACGACTCAGCGACAACATTGTCAAAAGAAAGTCGCTTACTCAGAGCAGCAAAGCTCAGCTCAAAGACGAACGGGCAAAATTTGTCACGATAGCCTGGTGAGAAGGATGGATGCTCATCAATCCTTCTCAAACAACCTAATCTCTGCCATCCCCTCTCTGCGCGTCGGGGAGTACCAGCACACTAGCCTGCCCGTTCCCATCGCCCCTACTGGGCAGTCCAGGCTGTAGACAGTCTCTAACGTCTTGCCCGGTTGGAAGCCAGTGCCCGCTTGCGTCATCGAGAGCCGGGTATCCACTCGGGCCCGAAGCGGGCCAATCACCTGCCAACAATCAAACAGCACGCCGCCAGGTTGACCATCAAAGAGCCTTTTCGTGACCTTTTTCGTGACCCTTTTCGCTGAACTCAATCTCGAATCGAAATTTCTTGAGAAGTGGAGACCCGGCTATGCGTAATTTTTACCACCTTGTGAACACCAATCTACACAGACAAAGGCTGAAAGATTTGATCTGGATGAAAGAGTGTTTTGCAAGCCAGAAAAGGTTGTTCCCCGTCACCCTGACCTGTTGCTGTGCGCTGATTGTAAGCGCAGGCACAGTCCTCCCGGAGCTTCCCCGTGCAACCGAGCCTGCCACGCCGGCTTCCGTTGCTGATTCCGCTGTGGCCGCTTCTCGGACGGAAGAGGGGCCCACGTCCAGGCGCAGGGCCAGAGAAGTGTAGTCAAAAACGGCCCGCTTAAATTCGCCCACCTGGCAAGGAAGAAGGGGGCTGCTCACAGTGAGGCCAAAGAGTCGCACTTGATTGAAGACTGCGTCCCTGAATGGCAGGGAGCGCTTGTTCGTGATTGTCAACAGCCGCAAAAGATAGCGGGATCCTTTCATTCAAAATCATGCCGTCCAAGGCGGATACAGCTGTGGGGCCACGAACCGTTAGTAGCAAAAAGAAGTGAACAGTTGAGAGAGGGGGCCGCGTCTGTCTCGATACGCCAATCAGAGAGATTTTCGTTGGAAAACGGATTTTTTTCCAAAGTCCACAGCAGAGTTAGTCAAATCAGCCAACGTGTTGCCTGCTCATGGAGTGTCTGATAAGGGGACAAAGAAAGCTCTTCATAAAAGACAGAAGAGTATCAGACGCGACTCTCGAGGAACGAAAGTTGCCGCACCTGCCCATGGATTCCAAACGAGCCAAACAGGGCCGTCGAAACTGGGAAGCTCTTTGGAACCGAGCTCTTGTCATCCGATAGGTAGGCCCAGACGTTTTCGGTGGTCACGAGCGTACCCACACCCCCTGAAACGACGAGCCGGGGCCGGGCTGCAATGGGGTTGTAGGATGCCCCTCTTCTCCGCTGGAAGCCACGAAACGACCAGTACTTCAGATACCTTCGGTCAAGTGGAAAACAGAAATACCAGCCCTCTTGCGGCTTCAATCGATGACCTGAGTCTTTGGCGAAAGCTAGTGACGCTTCTCTGCACGTCAGGTCACGCATTGGCCCCTGGTTGCATCAGCTTTGGCAGCGAATCCTACTGTGCATGATTGTTGGTATCTTTCGAGGGCTTTGTAGGTACCTCCGCGCAATTCAAAGGTAGCATAAGGGCAGGTGCTTCGAACATGGCCGGCAAGACAATCGGCAGAACACTCACCCGCGCTGGGTCCGCCCGCCAGAGGGTGACGGTGTTCTCGAGGGCAACGGCCGCCTGTGCCCGCGTGCCGTAGGCTGAGCTGGGAGGAAGCACATCAAAAGGCCTGCACGAAGCATGTCCAACGTTTCAGAACCTGACTTCAGCAGATAATGAGAAGATGCATATAACGGACGTCCAGAGCGAGCGTCTGGTTGAACCGGGTGGCTTACGGAACGAACATAGAAAGTAAGGAGAAGATGCAAGTGAACGACTTGCAAAGCAAGCGATTGGTCAAACCTGGTGTCAGTGCAGTAGGACATAGATTGGACCACACGTGCAAAAGGCAGGTATTCATAATCTGAAGGAGTTGAAAAAGCCAGTTCAACCGTTCGCATCGAAAGTAAAGCGCAGCCAATCAAAAACTGCCTGGGATTCCTCACCCGTAACCGCTGCCGGGTTGAGGCGATGCTATATGGTGAACGCCGACTCTGTACCGCAGCCCAGACTGGGGTCCATCGGAGGCAAGGTCTAGCGAGAGGGAGGATGGCACGTCCCAGTAGTTGGACTGCTGGTCGAGGCAGCGGTCGTTGAGGGCCCCCTCAAGGGTCACGTGGTGGGCCTTCAACTGCAGGCACACCAAATTATCTTGACATGCTCTCTCAAGACTTTGTTTTCAGGGGGAGGACCTGAGCCGCACAGATGTCGAGTCAACATTTGCCCGATTTTCGAGGCTTTGTTATCGGGTTTCAGCCAGCAGTCACATCTGTACAGCATTCGGCAATCCTTATATCGTCGCAGGAAGGCTACAAATTGAAGACCTGGCTTTCTTTCTAAGTTTGTGTTAGAAATTATTTTTAGAGGATTTGTTGGGTTCATCTCCGGATACGGGGAGGAGGAACTCTCTGTGCAAAAGTAGATGGACCGCGGCCCATGAGACAATGAATTACGGCAGTGTAGAGGGACTTCAAATCAAGAAACCAGGCCGACCTGGCGCCTGCAGGTCACCCTTCCACGCAAAGGCAGATTCCTGTTGCCGGAATCCCCCCCTCGGTTGCTGCCCCTCTTGAGGTCCTCCAAGGACTCCACCTCCAGATTCCCCCTCAAGGTCGTAATGTCGTCAATCGTAGACCTCGCCTTGACTGCAAGGCCGTAGTTTGAGAAGTCCCGCAGGGCCTTGAACGGTCGCTTGACGAACTTCTCCAAATTATCGTCCTCATCTTCAGCGTCTCCCTGGGGCTTCTGCCACAGCCGCTGCAACCGGAGCCGGCCAGTCAGAGTGGCCCACCTGCATACATTTGGTCAGATGTGAACAGGCAGTCACAATCGTTGGATGCGTTTCTTGCAATGGCATGATTGAGTTTACTGTTAGTGGCGCCGGACTTAGTCACAACAAATGATGTTTGAATCACGGTTGATTAATGCTTCTCATCACATGTAATGCAGCTCTCTCTTCACAAGTGTTGTTTGCTTTGGCTCCAGGGCAAGAATTTAAACAAAAGTCTGGACAATTCCTCTACAGAAAGTGGAGTTCATGAAGCAGGCAAGTGTTATGGCGCTGCATTTGGAGATGCTGTCATCACCCGCCTGTTCTTCACTTTGATACTAACTTCCTCAGGCCCCTCTCAGACAGCAAATGCACATGACACATGCATGACAACCTGATGCTGCACGCCTGTGCTTGCTGCACCACTCATGTCAACTCACCAGTCTCTGCCCCCAGTGTAGGCAAGCACTCTGTCTAGCACCACACCGCCTTCCTCCTCAACTTCCGCACAGAATGATGGTGTGGCAGGACATGCAAGGACCTTCTGAAGGAGAAGCAGCTGCTGAGGTCGGCTCAGCTTCGTGGGCTGGCGGATGCCAAGAGGAGCTGGCTCATTTGGCAATGTTCTCGCTACTGTGTCTAATGAGCGGGCCGACTCAATCTCCTGATTCCAGAACTGCGCGGCAAACAAGAAGCGTGGAGGATCCATCGTCCTGAAGGGGGAACCTTGCAGCAGGGCCCAGGGACCGAAATGCCAACAATGCCTACATACCTAGGTAGGCTCTAGCTGTCATGAAGTGTCACTTCACTTGCACAATTTGCAAATTCTTTGTACTTGTAGTAAGACCGAGTTCAAGACTAAAATCCTAACTCCGTGAATGCTCATACGCACCTTGAATGCACCTGAAAAGTGGCGGGAGCAAGCATGAGTTCACCCGCAGAGCCGCAACTTTTAGATATCAAATTGTGCCAACCTAAGAAGGATACGAGAAAGGACGAGCTGGAGCCAACGAGGATTTGCATTTCAATTCAAACACATATAGAGGCAAGATAGATTTGTGGCAATAATACCGTATACGTCCTCCGATTTGCGCAAGTACTTATACATTCATGACCGCCATGCATTCATATGACGACTCCATTGAGACTGGAGCGTTTTCACATCTTCGCATATTTCTTCGGATATCAGAAATATCAACTGAGCTATGACATTGATGAAATTCGATCATATTCTGTCTCTTGAGAATTTTCTCTGTACCGTAGGTATTACCTTGCAATGCAGTCTAGACCCAGCCTCGCAAGAGTCACGACTCACGACGCAACCTCGATCGCTCAGTTCATGAACAGGGAGAGAAGGACTCGTCAATGTTATGAAGAAGGAATCCTGCAACTTCAAGGGCCTGCTGGCATGCTTGAGCTTAATGAAAAGTGCGCCTCTGAATGTTTGTGACCGTCTGCTGAGGGAGAGTATCGTGTCAGCATGAGGAGTGCGGTTGAAGCTTTTGTTTCGCTTCAATAGTGAACGTCGTGCACAGTTTGTGAGGAGCTAGCCCTACTGATTGAATGCCGCATCGGATGCCGGCACCGAAACCTTGCAATCCCTCCCTATGAGGTCACCTTAGAGCTTCCACGTGGAAGCAGTCATTGAAGATGGCCGATGCAGGTACGCATTCAACCTTTTCTGCACAGTGTGGTGCAAGCATTAGCTTCTTGAGGTTGCTTTGCTCTGTCGATTGGAGTCATTCATTGCAGCTTGGCTGCCTGAGTTTGGGCGCCTCTTTGACTCGATGACCATTGAGCTGGTAGAAGGTCTGATGGACATTCTTGTCGCTTGAGAGGTTCATTACAAGTCCCTTCAGGCTCTTGTGCTTGTCTGACTCCGAAGCATGGCCTTGTGACCGAGTCCCCCGCACACCAGCCGTGCACTTTATCAGTCTCTTCTTCAACCATTGCCATTCGTACCCGGCATCCCACATTGGCCATGCCAGTGATAAGCTTCCGTTGTGGCACCACCTAGTTCACGGTCATATGATATACCTACAAGAGCATTAGGGACGCTGGAGGATTGAGGAAGAAGTTTGGCAGCAGCCTCGCTTGAGAAGCTCTCTTGTCTGTAACCTTGAAGCAGGTTTGAAGCGTTTGTTGAAGACTACCGAGGTGGTAGGAGAGTGCGGAATCCAAATGCTGCGTCATATTGGTGCACGTCATAACGAGCTCACTAAGGATTGAGGCTGAAAGCAAGGTGTCTGAAACGTGGTCGTTTGTTGTCCTTTGTACATTCTGCGTCCCGCCACCTGTGTTTGCATTGGACACTTTTCTGAAAGCGTGGCTCACGCTGTTCCAGGTGCACCCCGCGGCGATGTTTTGCCTGGCGGCAAGGCGTTGGGCCACGACGCCCCATCCACCAGCTTTGCGTCCAGCCTTCTGTCTGGCCCTTTTGGGGTGGGGGACATCGGGGCGCGCCGGCTCGCCCCCAGCGAGAATGCCGCCGACTGCGTGGCGCGGCTGCACGGCGCCATCAAAGACAAGGACCTGCCGGCGATGGGGGAGCTCCTCCTGGAGCTGGCGGACTGCTACATCAGCACAGTGGCCTCAAGCCCCGAGTCCATGGTGTCGGCGGCCAGGGTTGTGCATGAGGCGGCCAAGTTGGAGCTGGTCACGCAGGGCAAGCAGAGCAAGGGGGCTGCCAAAAAGGGCAAGAAAGGGGCCGGGGGGGTGGGGCCGACCGCAAGCGTGGCGAGCGTGCTGCTGCCGTCGTTGGGAGGGGGGAGTGCGGGGGTAGAAAAACCGGCGAAGCAGGCCGAGGCTGCAGAAAGGGCTGCCAGGCTGGGTGGTGCAGACGGGCCGGCAAGCGGTGTCGCTCCGTCAACCAGCCAGCAAGAGGCAGCCAAAGAGACGGAGGGGCCGGCAGACGGCAGCTCCACAAGGGAGCCTACCGAGCAAGCTGGAAAGGACGAGCCGGTTGCGGAAAAGACAGGCACTGAGGCGCGAGAGAGTGTGATGAAGGAGCGAAAGATTGTGCCGAAGAAGAGGATTCGGCGGTTCACGTCGGTCGGCGAGGAGGGGAGCCGGACGAAGCTGGCGGGGAACAAGCGGCTGAGCTCCGAGATGGACGAGGACGAGTTACCCGGCAGGGACGGGTCCCTCGCAGTGTTTGAGATTGGGAGCAGCGGCGGGGGAAAGGAGGGGAGCTCGAGCAGGGCCGACGTGTCCAGCAGCGAATCAGGGCCAGCTCTCAAAACCACTCCTGTGTCTAGCCACGGTGCTTCGAGCAGCGGGGGGAGACTGCCTGGCAGTGGCCAGGCAGGGACTGGCGCACCCACAAGGGATGATTGGCAGAACCTGAGTCAGACGTTGATGCCCCTGGCGAACGGCAAGGTGGCGAGCAATGACCCTCTCTGGGGCCTTGCGTCATCGCTCGTCGCGCAGGAGCACACCATCCCGGTGACTGCGCGGGCGATCTTCAAGGCCTTCTCGGGCCTGGTGATGGCCATCTGCCACACCCCGGAGGGCAAGTCCAACAAGAACCTGTCGGCGGAGGTGTATGCTGCACTCACGGAGACCGCGGTTGAGGTGCTGCACATCCTCAAGGGGCAAAAGCTCCTCGCGTTTGCGCTCCGCTTCCTGGGGGCCATCTTCCCACCCAAGAGCAACTCCTCAACCGGGGTTGGGGCGCTCGGTGGGGCTGCAAACAAGGGGGCAAAAGCAGCAGCCAAAGTCGCGTCCCCGGCTCCGAAAGTGGGGACCCCCGCAAAGGTTGCAGGCACCCCGCCAGCCACAGTCGGCACGCCAGCCAAGTCTACTCCCGCTGTGATCGCTTCTGGAGTCCCGGCAGACTATGTGCACAGCATGAGTATAACCGCACCTCTCAAGGCGCTCATGGGGGGTGCGGCGCTGCCGTCGCCTCTGCAAAACCTGGCAAGCGGGTCTCCCTCCAGCATGGCGCTTAAGGCACGGGGGATTCGCGCCGTGGCGGCAGTGGCGTTTGCAGCGACGGCGCCTGTTGTTGCAGAGAAAGCGGTCAAGGCGATTGTAAACTCGCTCAACTCGCAGCAGCCAGAGCTTGTTTCGACAGGGGAAGGTAGGACCAGCACTTTTGTTTGAGGACGCAAACGAAGACCTGTGTCACTGTTTGCTGGTCGTCCGGTCCCCATGTTTCTTGTTGGGAACTGGTCAGCTGGCAGAGTAGACGATCGGTTTGCGGAAACTTCTATGGAAGAGCGTGTGAAGCAGTCCCTCTATGACGTCGATTTTAGGAAGGAAGGCTGATTTGCTTTATCTTGTTGCAGCATTGGGAGCCATCACCACGCACTTGTCCTCCGCTAGCTTAAAGACGGTCTGCGAGGACGCCGTCAACTTCACGGTGTACTCCATGGGGAGATTCCCCGAAGCGAGCACTATTCAGGTATTGTATGCGCTTGTTTACAACACGGCCAGCCCGTTTCTACTGCCACTCTGCTATTGCGTTATAAGGGGGAATTGCCCCTTCTTGTGTATATGTGCAAGGCAAGTTCTGCCAGCGCCTCCCCTAAAGAACTGCTCCTCAGAATCTCATGCAGAATCCTTTTCTCGTCCAGGTAAGCGGCTGCATAGCGCTGGCGTCGCTGACCAAGACCGTCAGCTCCACGGTCCTCTTCAGCGCCTGGTCTGCCGCCACTGCGGCGATGCAGCACCACCCGGAAGACCTCCGTGTGCAGCGGGCGGGCTGCACTGCTCTACACAACATCAGCTCCCTCGTTTCATTGGCCACACCCGAGTGGGTCAGCCCCAAGCGGCCCCTGTGGGCGACCAGGGACAACGACAGGTCAGCTATCTCCCCATGCTACGGCTGCGCAAGCTCGAACAGATTGAATGAGAAACGGAGAGCCTTTTTGGAAGCGTACTTTCCATTGCATTAATATCGCAATTTGGAACGACTATCTATAGTTGTACCACTTTAGTGAGGTACGTCCGTGGATGCTTTGGTTCGCCAATCACGATACGTCACACTCCGACTGTTCGCCCTTCTCAAAGTCGAACTCCGGCCTTGTGCAGGGAGGAGGCCGCGCAGTGGCTGCTGGCGGCCATGGCCCGCTTCCCGGATGACATCCGCGTACAGTGGCAGGGCTGCCACGTACTGACGACGCTCCTCCAGAGCGCGGGCCTGCGCACCGTGCTCTACGTCGCAGGCCGCGGCGGCATGGGCGCCATCGCGCGCGCCATGCGCATGTGCAAGAAGAACGAGGCGCTCATCCAGCAGTGCTGCAGCGCGCTGGCGGCGCTCGTGCAGGCCGCACAGGAGGCCGGGGGTGACGTCATCCGACGTGAGGGTGGGGCGCAGGCGGGGATCCCTTCCCCAGCAGACGCGCTCGGGTTGGGGGCGTTCTCGGGGATGGTTCCAGCAGCGGCCGGGCCCGCCAGTAGTCTGGCGAAGCCGGTGGCGGCGAGGGAGGGAACGGCGCACACCGCGGTGAACACGCAGGGGAGCTACGGGTTGGACCTGTTGCGGGCGGTTGCGGGGGACTTGGTGGATCTGCCGGCGGTGCTCGGGGCAGATGTTGCGGGGCTGCAGGGCCTGGGGGGTAGGGAAGGGGCCAAGTCGGGGGGCGGCGATGCGTTTCTGTCGACGGACAGCAGCAAGGAGTTTCTGAAGAGCAACCGGGGGAGGACGGGGCAGCGGAAGCACAACGGGAGCGCCCAGAACGACGCGCCGACGGGGGAGGAGTGGTCGGAGGCGCTGCGGGCGGTGGTGGGGGCCATGAAGCAGTTCCCGAAGCTGAAGCTGGTGCAGTCGAACAGCTGCCTGCTGCTCGGGACGGCGGCCAGGATGATCCCCAACGATCTGGCGCAGATCCTGCCGGCACAGGTACAGGTTTTCCATTTAATCACCGTGTTGGGAAGCAGAGCATCGAAAACAGAGATGATACTTGGATAGATGGGTGACTGATTTGCAAGATACTCTCTTCGCTGCAAGCTTGGATATGGGCAGGGGTGCAGACACTTTAATAGTTGGACGGGCCTGAACTTTCCTTCTTCAGGGGCTTGACGCCTTATGCCCCAACTAAAATCAGACCTGGGTTAGGTTCCGCCAGCCTCCATGTCTCTATCAACTAAACGAAGCTTGACCCTTTCTTGCTCCGCAGGTGCCTTTCGAGGAGGGCCTCGGCCTGCCCGCCGTAGACGAGAAGCACCTGCTGATCGACCAGGCAATCGACGCAGTTGTCGCGGCCATGGACAACCATCGCGAGGACGAGATCGTGCAGCCGTGGGGGGCAGCCTTTCTGGCGCAGGCCTTCCTGCTGTACACTACCCCCTCGCGTGCGGGCCAGATCATTGCTCAAGAGCACTCCCGCCGCGTCCAGTCCACAACCTCCGACGCGCAACCCTCGGCCGTGCACTCCGACATGGCAAGCAGTAGCAGTCAGAGTAACCCCATCAACCCTGTGCTTCCCAATCTCGACTCGGCCAACGGCGCCGCCGCGGCGCGCACAGCGAAAGGCAAAGCCCCGCTGGAAGCGTCGCCGCAAACCCGGGACCCATCAGGCGCTGTTGGGGCGAGGGTAGGCGATGTGCCCTACTACGGGCAGGACATCGACGCACTCCCCGGTGCGTTTATGGCGGCAGCAATCCGTGCGAACTTGAAGAAGGCGTGCAAGGCGCTGCTGAAACTGGCGGGGCTGCTGGAGTCCAACACAGACGCTGCGAGCAACAGCCTGCGGCGGGGCTGGTGCGAGGCGATGGAGATCATGGTGTGCACCTTTGGGCGGCTCTCGCTGGACGTCGAGCGGGGCCTTGTCGCCGCCAAGTGGACCCAGTTCAGCCTGGAGAACCACCAGACGCAGGGCCAGTTGCGGGGCCCGGCAGACGGCCCGCAGCCGCTCAGCGAGCAGAATCCGCAATTGCCCCCGTTCAGCTTTCCAGACCCGGCCGCGCTTGGGCTTGGGACGAGCGCGGGGAGCCCTCTCTCATTGCCCGCCGGCCAAAACCCTTTCCCGGCGGCTCTCGGCTTCCCGTCGTCCTACTCTGTCAGCCACATCGAGGTGACCACGTATATTGCCGCGCTGTCAAACGCGGCCGCCATGAGCGCAGGGGGCAGCCAGCTCTTGCCTGCGTTTCTGGGAAACGGCCTGGGGTTCAACCTCGAACCCCAGGCTCTGGCAGCCGCGCTGGGGGGCGGTCCCGCTCTAAACCCACTCTCGAACCCGCCCACCAACCCACCTGCAAATCTGCCCGCCCCCACCACCTCGATTGAGAGCAACGCCAGCCCCAGCAAGGCCTCTTCCTCCTCCTACACTCTGGCAGGGGGGTCGTCCCGGCCCGCAACCACCCTGCACGCAGCCACCAACATCCCCCCTGCTCTCACAAACTTCGGCACCCCCGCATCCGCGCCCTGGCAGCAGGGCGCCTCGTTCACCAACTTTGGGCTGACCCATTACAGCCAGTCCGCTGAGGAGGAGGACACGTGGAAGGCCCTGGCGCGATTCTGCCGAGACTATGCGGTGGAGGAGTGGCGGCTGGCGGCGCACCTGACGGGCCAGACGGCCAAGCCGCTCGGGTTTAAGGCGCACCTGCTGAACGTGCTCAGCATCGCCACCAAGAGCCTGACCGTGCAGGACGATGCTGACGTCATGCACTCGCTGTGCCTGCTCATCACCGAAATCTTCCTGGTGAGTCGGCGTGGTTCTGAGAGTTGCCGCTGTATCGTACTAACATCTTTCAGACGGTGCGGAAGTGTTCAGGTTTTCAAGGACGAGGGTGCTTCATTCTTTGGGGTCTGCCTAGAAGCAGTGAAACTGAAGAGCTTCGCCCGGATTCTGCAACCGCAGCAAGTTGCATAATTCAGCAGAAGGCGTCTTCGCATGGGCCCAGAATGTCGGAGATTGTAGTGCGCACAGGTCGGTTGGAGAACTTGGTACCAATTTCCTGCTCTTAGCACTCATAGCCGTCACGTCTACTGTAGGTCTGGGAGCACCTCCACTCTGGCGGGAACATCGTTGCCCTCCACGCTGCTGCCAAGGCCTCCTTAGAAAAGTCCTCTGGCAGCGGGGGGGCCTCCTCCCACGACGATGCATCCGAAGTGCTCAGAGCGAACGGCCTAGCGACCCCGAAATCGCAGCCTGGCAGCTCGCTGGAGGACAGCTTCGAGCTCCGCTCCGCAAGTAATAGCGCAGGGAGCTCGGGCGGTGACGTCAGCACTTCGGGGACTGTGGCCGCGGACCGGTCGCAGGTCGGCAAAAGCAGCGAAGGCGATGCGAGCGGCAAGACTGCAGGGCCGGGAGACGGCGTGCGGGCGCAGACCAACGCAGCGGCCTCGACGAGCGGCATGCCGGAAATCGCAGAGAGTAGCACTTCGCGAAAGGCTGTGCGGCAAAAGGGTGCGGAAAGTAGCAAGCAGCCTAGCTTGGGGGCTCGGGGCCCGAAGCTGGGGACACGGAACACGTCTTCGAGTGCACCGTCAACCACGGGAAAGCCACCGACGGGTGTAAAGAAGCCCCACCCGGCCGGGCTGGAGCTCCCTATTCCTGTCAGCTTGCAGGAGCGGGGTTCGCAGCCCGGGGTGTTTACTACGGACGCGGGAGTGGGCGACATGATTGAAGCGGTGCTCTACTTGACGGCCATGGACGGGCACTTCGAGGCGCTGGCGGCTGCCCTCGAGGCGCTGCACAACTGCCTGCTGGTGGCGGCACGGCCACAGGAGGTGAGCAGCGGCGCGGGTCGATGTGCTGCCCGGCTTTCAGTACCTCTCCTTCTGACTTTCTCTGCGCTCTTTTCGTCTCTGAGCTCTCAGCAAGTTTCTTGTCTTCCTTCTATTCCTGCCGTCGAAAGCTTTTTCAAATTTTGTTTGATTGACTTCTTTTTCGTTGTTTTCTGCACGAGGCCCGATCTTGAATCCGATCATCTTGTCCGACCTGGAGGCTTCTCTTCTGCGAGCAAGGTCGATCTTCTCGTTGGGAATCCGGGGAATTTGACCCATCCATTGAAAATGTCTTCATGCTGTTTCGTGACACATCTGTGCAGCTATGTGTTTGCCATGTCGGAGCCTGCATCCCATGGAAGAAGACGAGCAGCGCAACTGAGAAGCCGTTTCGTTGAGAGTATCTCCCGCAAGTGATAGTTTCTAAACCCCCTCTCCCCACTGTGCCAGGTGGACGAGTTCTTCGGCATCAACAGCGACGGCTGCAAAGCGACCGACATCCTGGCCGCGCTCAAGAAGGCCATTGCCAAACCCCCCATCAAGATCACCGCCGAGACGTCCCCCGACGTCATTCGCGAGCAGGACGGCCGCCGCCGCGTCGCCTTCGAGGCGCTGCTAGTCCTCAAGGCGGTGTGCGACAAGAACGTGGCGGCGCAACTAGAGGTGGCCGTCTTCGAGGGCATCGACCTCGTCTTCGACGCGTTCGACAAGTACCGGGACGACGAGGAGATGAAGGACGCGGCGATGAAGGTGCTGGGGCTGGAGGAGGAGCTGTGGCGCAAGAGCGCGTGCGTGCAGGCGCTGTGGGCGGCGCTCAAGGCCAACCGCCAAAAGTACCTGGCGGAGCGGTCCAAGGGGCTCGCCAAGAAGAAGAAGAAAGCGGGCGGCAAAGCGGACCCGAAGCAGGGGCCGAAGCGGCCCGGCGGGAAGCGGGAGGTCGGCGACGAGGACCCGGAGGAGAAGGTGCGGGGGGTCGCCACGGCGGGGATCAGTGCGACGCGGTGGCAGGAGATCGCGGAGATTGTGGCAGGGGAGCTGCACGACGACTTCCCGCGGCGGTGGGGCGGCCTGCGCACCATCGACGACCTGCTGTCTAAGGAGGACTTTTACAGCATGCTGGGGCTGTTCCTGGAGGACCGCAAGCTGGCCGTCGAGGAACTCATCGGGAAAGACCTGGACACGGGGAAGGGCGCCGAGCCCGCCGTGAAGTACCTGCAGTGGATCATCCAGGGGCACCCCGACTGCGGGACGGTGCACCTGGGCCTGCTGCGGACGGCGATCTTGTACGACGAGGACGAGTACCTGCCCGGGTCGGGGCCCAATGCTGCCGTCAAGCTGCTGCAGTACCTTAACGAGAAGCAGGCCAACTGGTCCGAGGAGCAGCCCACCAATTCACAACCCCCTCAGCCCCACGAAACCGGCGGCTCTCACGAGCCCTCTCCAGCGAAAGCGTCCAAGGCGCAAGCCCCCTCCAAAGCTTCCACTTCGGCCGCGCCCCCCCCAGCGCAGCCTCTTGTTCCGCAGTGGCAGTTCCCCTCGCTTCCCACGCACCCCTACATGGCCGGCTTCAGCGCACCCCCCTCTGGCGCGAAAGCGTTCCCCACCCCCGCCGACATCCTCTCCTCATGGGCGTCCCTTTTCACCGGTGCGTCGTCCCCGTTTCGGCACGCCCCGTCGTGGTCCCCCCTCTCGGCGTCGAACCAGAGGGCGGTGGGCCCTGCCGCAACGGTGTTTGCGCAAGCCCAGCTGTGCGAGCTGCTCGGTCACTTGAGCTGCGACTGGGAGGACGAGCTGATCGAGGGGGGGTGCATCGGGGCGGTGCTGGATGCAATGGAGGCGGTCTGGTTCTGGCGCGACGTCAAGAGCATGGCCACGCTGCTGCCGCACGACGAGCGGCTTGCGCACAAGATGCGGGACCTCCAGGTGGGGCAGATGAAAAACGGCTCTCTGGCGAATTACGAGATATGTTTTTGTATCATCGTGGGCGTAGACTCTTCTCTGAGGCCCTTGGACATTCTGGGCGGGCTGGCGACAGGGTTTGCCTCAAAGGAAGGAGGCTGGGCTGCCATGTTGACGGCTACCTTCAACAATCAGTGCTCGCAATTGAATTCTACTCAATCAGAGACTTATGGGGAGCGCCCTTGGCTGGGACTCGATGACCGACGCTTTTTGAGACTCCTGCTTCTGCTGTTGCTTGAGCACCTACTTCTGAATCCTTGGACCCTTCCTTTCAGAAGAACTCCTCTTTCTTCCGGCCTCAGCATTATCAACACGATTGCAGGCCAGCCCCTGGGTTCTTTACAACCAGCCTTTTATTCAACGTACTGACGGCTTTGGCTTCCGTGCAGAACCCTCCCACGATCGTCCTGGTGCGCGACCACAAGGGCGAGACGGCTCTCGTCGTGGTTCCCGCCGCGCACACGGGCCTCGTCTGGAAGGGCGAGTGGGACGGCGAGCACGATCCCCCAACCGACGCACACCACTTCTTCATCGAATCTCCTAGCTCCTCCACTTCCCACACCTCCGCCTCGACTTCGGAAGCGGGCCCAAGCAATTTGGACTCCGCGAGCACGAGCAGTGTTGACAAGGTGCGCGGCGGCCGCGCTCCCATGCGGGACCCGGGGAATCCGCTGAGCCGGGCCGGGGGACTGATCCCGCGGGAGTGGCGCGAGACGCTCGACTCGTACCTGCAGCGCAAGGCGCTTTTTGCGCTGTACAGCCTGTGCAAGGAGATGCCCGGCAAGGAGGCGGCGCTGCAGGCGCAGGCCAACCATGCGGCGACGGTGGCCATGTGCCGGTACCACCCGTACGAGTGGAACATGGGCGTGCGCTGCGGGTTCAACCGGGAGGTGAGGAGGGCTGGCTGGTTTGTTGGATTTACCTGACGGGCTTTTGCAGACTGTGCAAGAGGGCACAGATATGTGCAGGTTGCAGAGAAGCATGCCACTTTGTTGTTGTAGTTGGATCTCGTCTGCCCCTGATTGTGCTCTTATAAAGCGTTGCTCATCTCGTTGAAGGCCTGAAGAAACACAACGTTGCCTACCTGTCCTGCGATGAAGTTAGTCGCTGCTAGGAGTTTCGCCTCGTGGTTGGTGATTAAGACTCCATTAAGTTGGTCCCTTGGTTGTGCACAAGGACTCTTCAAAGAAACTGCAGCAAGCTTCGCCCCCTTCTTTGTTACCCAGCGCTGACCCGCCTCTACAATTAATCCCCGCAGGTGATCAAGGCAGCGCACCTGGTGTTGGCGCGGCTGCACATCGAGCGCATCTGGGACAAGAACGTGACCTACTGGCTGGCCCACGAGTGCGCCAAGGGCAACGACCACGCCGCGCTCGAAGCCATGGTCGCAGAGGGCCTCCCCGGGCTGTGGGCCGAGGACGGCGCGGGCCATGTGCCACTGCACTACGCGCGCGAGCTGCAGCGCGCGGCGTGCGTGGCGATTTTGGAGGACCTGCAGCGCAAGCGGCGCGCCAAGAAGAAGGGCAAGAAGGCCAAGAAGAAGAGCGCGGCGGAGCAGGGGGAGGCGCTGGGAGGGACTGGTAAGGCGGGACTTTCAAAGGAGGTGTAGTGCGCCGTTTGTAGGATAATTGGCAAAACCCCAAATGGTGCCCGTGTTGACTTGCTCGCTGCTTGTGACGTGTACATGACAATCATGGACAACTCGCTTTCCTGCAAGCATATGAATGGCACTTCTTTCTCATATCCACTCACCAGCGTCTCAATTTTTGCTGCAGCCAATGCAGAGAGCCCCGACACGCCCACCGCAGACCCCACCAGCTCCAACGCGCCGTCCCCCAAAACCCCTCTCTCAGAACCCCCTCCCTCGGCCCCGAAGGCCAGTACTAGCGTCTCCTCTTCCGCTCCTGAGACTCTCAACCCCTCGGCCAACGCTGCCCTGCGGTCAGTGGTAGACGCCTCGAGCCTGGAAGGGATGCGTGCTGCCGTGGAGGCATATGCCGCGCTGGCAGATGTTGACGCAGCATTGGTGGAGACGCTGAAGGGGATCGTGGAGGACGCGGAGCGCACGGTGGTGCGCAGCGCGAGCGCCATGGTGGCGGGAGTGAAGGGCCGGCTGGACGTGCTGGCGGACAGCGGCAGCAAGCGGGCCATCAAGAACACGCACACGCTGCTGGAAAAGGTACGTTATTCCATCCAGAGGATGGGGACCGTCCGCTTTCAAATCAGGTTGGCCCCACTAATAGTAAACTATCGCCTAGGAAGAACCGGACAGTGTTTGAATTGAAACTTTTCGACGACTGTCGTATTATAGATGATATGACTGAGATGACGAAGGGGCAGATGAAATCTGCTACTCAGAAGAATCGCTCACAAGAATATGTGCACCTGACACTTGGGTCTGAAATCTAGAGATGTGTCCGGCCCTGACCCTTGCGTCTGCAGATACTCTCAGCACGTTCATCAGTTGTTAACCAGGGAAGCACAGTAACTGCGTGTCAAACAAATCGTCAAAATGGTTGTGTCTGTGAACCTGCAGATTGGGCAGGCATCGACGCTGAGCGAGTTCCAGGCTGCGGTGGAGCGGTACAGCCAGTCGAGCGCGGCGGACCCGGTGCTGTGCACGGTCCTGGCGGACGTGCTGCGCGAGTCGGAGAAGAAGATGCGCGAGTCGATGGCGCAGGCCGAGCGCAAGGTGGGCGAGTCGCAGGGCAAGAGCCTGGGGCTGGCGAGCAAGGGGAAGAGCATGGCGCCGCCAGCTGGGGACGGGAAGGGTGCAGGAAAGGAGGAGAGAGGGGGAGGCAAGGAGGAGAGAGGGGTAGAGAAGGAGGCCAAAGGGACCGGTAACATTGCAGGCAAGGTGGAGGAAGGAAAAAAGGCGGCTGATGGGGAAGCACGGGAGAAGCGGGATGCCAAGCAGAAGGGGAAGGAGAAGAAGGGGAAGGACAGCAAGGGGGGTGCGAAAGAGAAGGGGGCCAAGGCTGGGGCGCCAAGCCCGGGGGAGAAGGCCAAGCCAAAGGTAGTCGAGGCGGAACCTTCCGCCGTGGAAGTTTCTGCACCGGAGGCCCCTGCGACCGCTGCACACGCAGTGGCAGAAAGCCAGGCCGCGATGCCCGAGCCGCCTTTCGAGCATCCCGTCGTGGCGAGCACTCTAGAAACGCCGCCCGAGGTTCTGGAGCTGTTGGCAAGGGAAGAAGAGTTGGCAAATGCACCGGACGAGGACAGCTTCGAAGAGGAGGAGTGGGTGAACGTGATGAGCCGTCGGAAGCTACGGGAGTCGCTCAAGGGCAGCGCCCCGGCCATGGAAACCGAGCGGCCCCTCAGCGGGCGGCAGCGGCGCGCCAAGCAGAAGGAGGCGGCTGCCCGGGTGGTCCGGGAAAGCCCCGAGCGCGCCAGCCACCAGTCGCCGCCTCGGGAGGAGCGCGCCCTGATGATCGACCTACTAGCGCAAGCGGCTGAAAGCACCCCGAGTGTGACTCCGAAGCCAAGGGAGACGGTCGGCGGTTCCGCGTGGAAGCTAGGAGAAAGTTTGGAGGGCGCGCGGGTTGTTCCGGGCAATGTAGAGGAGGACGAGCGGGAAGGAGTGGTCGGGCCGGAACGGACGGCGTGGGGGCCGAACGCGCAGCCGGGGGGGCACCTGGCCAAGCGCACGTGGGCGGAGCAGGTGGAAGAGGAGGACAGGGCGGGGGGGCTACCGGAGGCGAGCACGCACGGGGGACCCCTGGTAAGCGGGCCTGTAATTCGGTAAATATGTAGAGTAGTCGTGTTGCCGCCGCGGTTTTCATTTGCTGCATTCAGAGGCATGAGATTGAATGTTCGACTCTTTGAGCGCCGTTGAGTGGAGAGATGGGCCACTTTGGTGCCTGCTGCTGTAGAGAGTGCTCTGCAACCGTTAAGAAATACCACAACAAGTTCGTAGATTGCTCAAAGACATGCTGCCTTCGTGGATATTGTGGAGTACAGGATATGTCCTGGTTCCTCTAGCTGCACCGAAGGTGCATGCTTGCACCAAGGGGGTGGGGTGGTGATATGCAGGGTTCTTACCGCAGTGGCTTTTTGGTTTCTCGCCTTCTGACACATGCTTGCCGGTCTTCTCTCAGGACAAGCGAAAGCTGGCTGAGGCGGAGAGCAAGCGCGGCAAGGGCAAGTCGCGAGGGAGCAAGCAGCGCGGCAAGACGGGCCGGGGCCCAGGCACCCCCAGTAGTAGTGCGGCCATCCTACCCTCCCCGTTGCCCCCCCTCCTGCCCACGCCGTCCGAATCGCTTCACATCGCAGCGGAGCCCGCAAAGCGGAGGCCAAACGCAGGTGTGCCAGAGTGGCCGTCCGTCAACGCTCCGAGTGCGAAGCCGAGCCAGAAGCAAGTGTTGCCGGGCACGGGGGTGTTCCACGCCGTGGACGAAGAGGCCAAGCAGGGCCAGGCCGAGGCGGTGCGCAAGCGGGGGGGTCCGGCCATGGGGCCAAGCGACCCCCCCTTGGCTTCGTTGCCCATCAGGTCGCCTGGTGTGGCATGGGGCCGTCCCCCGGCGCCTGGACCAGCTAACGGGCCCCCCTCTTATGACCCGCTGACCGCGCCCATCACCCCGCTCCAACAGTGGGCCCCACCAGCCTACCCTGATCTACCCGTCAGTCTCGACATGGACTTCCACTCCGCAGAAGAGGCGGCACACGTCGGGCAAGCCCCTCCCCCCTGGATGGACCAAAGCGAGCCCGCCTTCACACTCCACCAACCGCAGAGCACCGCCCCCCCCCGTCTGGTGGACTACCCGACCCCCGGCAGCAGCAGCTTCTTCCAGTCCGCCGCCCAAGACGCCGTTGTCACGCCCTTCCCCCGGCTCCCCTCGCCGCAGGCCTCGGTCTCCTCGTCGGCCGACTGGA